CGATTTCCGAACCACTATGGTTTGAAATTTTTTGGCGTCCCAAAATATTTGTAGAACTCTCCGCACTAAGCTATGCCATCAATCGATTACTTAATCTCGAGTTTTTTTCTGTGGAAAAGAGTACATTCTTTTTACTGTAAAAAAAATTTACGAGCTGTATAGACATACCGTCCGTTCCGGGCTCAGACGCCAAAAGTTCTGGGTGCTGGAGCCAGAGCTTTGATTGCTCCGGGTGCTATGTCCAGAACTTTTGGCCTCTGAGCCTCGAACGCCAATGGTACGTCTATGTAGCCCGTCAGTACTGCTTCTACGGCCGGAGCTTTTTTAAAGTGTTCCTGTAAACGGTCACATCTTAGGAAAGTTAGTCGAGCGATACAGAAAAAGATGGAGAGTAAAAACACTTTAAAAGACTTTTTCAACTATGGGACTCGTGCATCAGAAACTCGGGTATTCGGTATGCCGTATGCGTGGGCTCGTCGAATGCACTTTCATATGCAGTTATCTCAAGTTACGTGCCGCATCATATGCATTCTGCGTATCTTAGGAAAATATCGCTTTGAGCCAAGTGTAGCCTTTCCTGACGCAGCAGCGGCATCCACCACTAATAATTCCACTTATTCGCGTTTCTTCTGTACCGCCGCGCCGCACTGCTCCGGTCATTTAAATGCAATCATTCGGGTAAGCAGGAACATCACTGAGGTGCACAGAAACACGTTCTGTCCATCGGAGGCAATGGAGTCAGAATCTAAACAATTTTCCTTCCAACACGCTGAATCATTTCCAGAGTTTTTACATGTAGATGCTTTCTTGAGCTTTGAATAAATTGAGCCTGATAGCCCCTGCGTCAAAAGTATTGGTTCACGCATTCCGTTGGATCATTGAACTAGCCTAGGAACTAACTTTCATGCAGTGAGAGGTAATATAATGCCGATTTTACTCTTTTGCGGAGGAATTTTTGGTTGAATCTTTTTGAAAATTTTACTGAACTTCATGGGCAGTACACACTGGAAAAAAAAACACATTGGATCTAGAGTCCAGACTCTTGAAAACATTAACAAGAAAAAATACTCTTGATTCAATCAGATTTAAGCTGAAATCAAAAGGAAATCCGCTCAAATTAAGAAGCTTGGTTCTTGATTTAAGCAAAAATCCGATTGAATCAAGAGTATTTTTCTTGTCGATGTTTTTAAGAGTCTGGACTCTAGATCCAATTTGTTTTGTTTTTTTCCAGTGCAAAGAAAATTCAGTGAAATTTTCGGACTGCTTCGTTGAAGAATTTTTCCACAAAAAATGCAAAAGCAGCGGATGTTTTGAAACGTGGCATAGCGCTTGTGCTACCTTGGCCAGAAGAAGACGATGTATGCGCAATGAATTTGACTCTATGAAAGTACAGAGAATGACGAGTATCTTGAAAAATGAATTTTTAAACGGTTTTAGCAGGAAACGTTGTTGGTGCTAAGGCGAAAAGTTGAGTGCGCGGAATTTCGGCGATGCGCGAAAGAGATGGAGACGATGAAAGATCTTAACAGCCGAATGCTCAATATCACTCACTAAGTCAGCCTTGATGGTTGCCGCTGTGTGCAACGATTCTCGGTCACGTGCCCGCTATATTTTGACCCACATTTACACTTCCCCTTGGAGGAAATTCGTATTTACTTCATCCGTGTAAAATAATGCATATCATATCATAACATGAGTATTTTATGCATAATTTAACGAAAGATGCAAATGACATAAGTTTCAACATCAGCTCCTTTATAGATGAGAAATTGCATAGATGAAAACGTCACCTATTCGTATCTTTTCAACGTATCATAATTTACATATTAGAATTGCTCTGTCTAACTGCGAAGTTGAATGTCTAACCCTCCGCTGAAATTGACTGCTTTATTAGATTCCATGCAAAATGTTGTATGAAAGATGCGTGAAAAAACTTCTTGTCTAGTCGTTCAATGTTTCTCAAAAGCTATATCCTCGATAGATAGGATTCTTCCATGAATTGTACTCACAACGGACTCAAGTTAAAAAAGGAGGCGTGTCGTATCCACAATAACTCATAACCAATGAAAAATTTAGAGCTTTCGAGATGAGCTTTTGGGTTGAGTTTTCAGCATTTGTTCATAATTTGTTCTTTAAGGTTCTCGTGATGAAACAATGCATTTAAGAATGACACGAGGTACAGTATATTGATGGTTGGCGTATCTTCGACATTGCAGACTTTCTGTCATACTTTACTGTCTTTTATAAAACTAGTCGACGTAATTCCTTCAAAACTTTCTTGATTTTTCTTTTCCATTAGCAGAATATTCTGTGTAAATTTCAAGGCATAAAGTTGGCTTGTTCCTACTCGAAAATATAAAATGAGAGCTGAATTGCTGGAATTCTGAAACGTCGCAATAAAAATACATGGTTTTGCACTTTGGCCATGGATATAAGATGTAATTGTACTGAATTTTCTGCGAACATGGATCAAGCATCTTATGTCCCACATTTTCGAGGCGTTTCCGCTCTTTTAAAAAAAATGAGAGGCTTGTACTCATCTCACTTAAAGCAATTCTTGCGTCCCTTTCATTTTCAACGAATGAACTTTTATCCGCGAGTAATTAAAAAATTAAATAATGAATCAATCAACGACGGTGCCGGCGCTACAGGGTTCAGAACATTGGCGAGGCATTAATGTTCGATTATCGATATTTGCCCCTTCGAAGCTACGGTAAAGAATCGATTATCGAAATATTCGTTGGGAACACCCCGTTTGTCGATCCTTTGCCTTGGGCTCAAACGGCAGATCAATCGATATATCGCAAAGCACGCCACGACACTGGTTTAAAAACTAAATCGATCACTGTCGAGAGGAAGGATCTGTCGTAAACGCTTGCGGGCTGACAACGATGGCCAATAAGAGCGAATGTCGAGATCAAACGAGCTGTAATCTGGATCTCCCTCGGGAAACGTTCCGATCGTGGCTAATTCGACTCGCGAAAGGAGAGGGCGCAGGGGACCTGGGGAAAGGGGGCAGGGCGAGGGAGGGGGGAGGAGCACAATCGGCCATTACCACAAATCAGTCAGCACTCAATTACTACCGTCCGAATTTCAAAGACTGCACAGACACAGGGCTCCGCGCACAGCGCAAATTGCACTCGACCGACTCGACTCGCACATTCGGCCGTGCTTCAAGGAAGAACGTTGTACGTACATTCGAGAGTTGCCAAATTTCCTCGGATAAAATACGTATTTTCTAGGAAAGTTGTGGATATTTTTCCTCGGAATTTTAAGATATTTTAGATCGAATTGCGGGTACAAATGTCTGGAAAATTTGAAGAAATGTATTCCAAATTCTTCCGGTGATTTCGGTTTTTATCGAAGGCAATCTGGCAACGTCCGATGGCTCTTACGTTTTTCTTCGGTACGGCAGCACTGCATACTGCCGCGCTGCGCTCTTCCTCTCCGGACCGATACAGTTGAGGCTTCACAAATTAGGACACCTTTATAGTGCCTTTAACACCTTCTGTATGCAAATTCGGTGTGCTGTGTAAGATATCGATGGCCGAAGAGCGAAACCATCCTCCACTACGGTGTTTCAAAATGTCGGCTCTTATTTTATTTTTTTCGTAAAGAAACAAGTCAACTTCAAAGCATAATGAAATTTGTCCGTTTGCCAAGTTAAAATTGCCCGCAAATCGTTAGATAGGCAACATTACCAACGCAGGAGTTAAAATAATATCAGTCATCTACGCAAAACACGTTTCTCTTCAAAGAGCCACATCCTTGGTAAAGTTGTGAAATTCGTCCGTTTGTCAAGGTAAAATCGCCCGCAAATGGTGGGATAAGGCAACATTACTGACTCAGGAGTTAATTTAGTATTTGAAATCTTCTCAAAACGTTTTAAAAGTAATAAAAATCGTCAGTTTGGCAGGGTAAAATCGCCCGCAAATGGTCGGATAGGCAACATTACCAGCTCAGGAACGTAAATACACTGAAAAAAGGATTGGTAGAATTTATCATTCCTTCACGCTATACATCACACAGCGTCAATTGGACGTATTTCTATCAAACGGACCTAAAAGCGCCATAGGGTGAGGAAGGTAGAGGGGGGCTTGGATTGGCGGTGGAATCGGGCGTCCGGCTTATTCCGTCCTATACTCGGAATGCTTTTCCATGGCGCTTAGGTCCGTTTGACAGAACGCGCTATCCGGCATTCTAAATTCCTCAAAAGGAACTCAAATTGGCGCTTACTTCCGTTTGATAGAAAAACGTCCAATTCAGAGTCAATTCTGCCAGAAGAAAGGTAAACGTTACTATATACTGATACAGGTAACCATTCCTCTGGCGGAATCAACTTTAAATTGACGCTGTGTGAAATACAGCGTGAAGGAATGGTAACTTCTACCAATCTTTTTTTTTCAGTGTAGTACTTGTCATCTACTCTAAACCAACTCCTCTATACCCATATCTTCGGTCAAGTGATGAAAATAATCAGTTCCCCAAAGTAAAATCCGCCGTGATGGCACAGAGAGCCGCCAAGACAAAAACGAGGTTTTTGATTGCGGGCTCAGTCGCAGCTAGGAGTGGAAAATTGAATTGAAAGAAGTAATCTTTTTTGTCAAACTGCCATCAGTTATCCGAAAGACTCTCGAAAATCGTTCAGATGATTAAGAATCCAGTCATTTTATTTCAAAGGTATAAAACGACGGTGTAAGTCGGCAATCACATAACTCGGTTTGCGACGTCGCAGACTTCCTGTCATACTTTATTTTTTAAACGGAAAACTACTCAACGGCAATTGTTTAAAACTGCCGTGATTTTTCTTCTCTGTGCGAAGAAAATTCTGCATAAACTTCAAGGAATGATGTCAATTTGTTCTCCTTTAAGAAATTAACATAGAAGCGGAGATTTTCAGACACCGCAAACGAGTTATGTGATTGCCGACTTACACCGTCGAAAAACGGTATTTTTAAGGGTTGGGCGGTCGTTAATTTGCTGTCGGTTTCTGTTGGCAGAGAGTGGTGGTGTCCTCACTGATTCCGCCGACGACGAGCATCATTCAACTGGAGAACTGCGCCGTCGTCGAGATGGAACGCAACGCCCTCCGACACGTCCGTGCCCTCGTTCAAATCCACATAAGCAACGTGGCCGAACTCCGGCTCAACGAGGGCTCTTTCAGCTGGGAGGAGAGCTTCATCCAGGAGGTCTACACTTATCCCGGTCTCCACATCAACCTCACCGCCTCCACCATCCCCACGCTCCCCACCTATGTCTTCAGAGGTAAGGAAACCTCATGGACTCCATCGATAATGTGGACGTATTTCTACCAAACAGACCTATGTGGGGGTGAGAAATATGGGGTGTGCTCGTTAGTTCTCTGGCCGTAAGAGTGAATGGGAATAATAAAGCGCCAGTGACGTCAGCGGCAATGATAGTGCGCACTCGAGCGATCGTCATCGGGGCGCTTTAACTCGTGAGCCCTGTCCACAATGCTATCTTGCCATTCCCGCGGATCATGAATCTCGCATTCAGTTGGCACATAGGTCTGTTTGATAGAATGTAAAATCCCGCTTTCCCAATTCCTCAAAAGGAATCACGCCCACTTTTACATTGCTTCTTATGCAGCTTCGACGAGCACACCCCATATTCCTCACCTGCACATAGGTCTGTTTGGTAGAAATACGTCCATGTACCACCGGGGTTTGTGGTTAGACGAACTAACCCGAAAGAAACACAGACAAGATAAGAGCTGCGATACACAGAGGTCTTGAAGCAAAAAAAAAAAAAAATTGCGACAAAAGTGTACCCTCAAACGGTTTGCAGGGGGTGAGTCTATGGTGTGTGTGGATTTAATATCGCAAAAAATCAAACTTTTGGCTGATCATAATTTTGAGATACCGCAATTTGAAATTTTCATAGTAAATGCAGGTTTTCTACGGATTTTGATCAGCTTATTTTTTTATTTGTCCATGAATCGGTGGTGATCGGTTCGCGTTTTTAATATTCATTCGATTCATGTCGGTCGAATACATACACTCTCGTTACATGCAAAAATTCTATCATAATCTTTTTTTAACTGGACAGTTCGCCTTCTGCTGCGTCTGCAGCAATTGTTGTTACGAATATGTTGTGCGTGCTGATTTCAGTTCATTACATACTCGACTCTCTGAAGGCGTTTTATGTCCACAAAAAGCGCAATCTGTCGGAGAAGGAAGGAAGTAGGGATCAATCGATTCGTTCAATCTCACTTCTATTGTTCTCCAACAGGGTGCTCTACTTTCGCATATAAAACGCCTTCAAAGAGTCAAGTATGGAATGCGCTGAGATCAGCACGCACAACATATTCTTAACAACAATTGCAGCGGACGCAGCTGAAGGCGAATTGGAAACAACCTCGGAACAACATTTGTTGGAAGACTTTTTAGGACTGAAAATTTGTGGTGCAGTATATTTTATTTGGCATTTAATCTTGCTTTATGTTTTAAGATACAATAATAAAAAAAAATTACACAAAGGGCAACAAGGCTAATTTTAAAGTATATATCACCAAAACGTTTCGGCTGAAAACTTAGCCTTCTTCAGTTGCATAAAACAGTAAAAAACCGTCAAAATCTAAAAACGTTGCACTTGGCTGTACCTCTCGAAGTGAGAACAATGTTCTTATACAATGTGAGAGGAAACGATTCTCTCCCGAGGGAATAGTTTCTTCTCCCGAGAGGATAGTTTTCTCTCCTGAGAGAAAAGAGAAAACTATTCTCTCGGGAGATTGTTTCGAGGTTGTTTCCAATTCGCCTTCAGCTGCGTCTGCAGCAATTGTTGTTACGAATATGTTGTGCGTGCTGATCTCAGCGCATTACATACTTGACTCTTTGAAGGCGTTTTATATGCGAAAGTAGAGCACCCTGTTGGAGAACAATAGAAGTGAGATTGAACGAATCGATTGATCCCTACTTCCTTCCTTCTCCGACAGATTGCGCTACTTGTGGACATAAAACGCCTTCAGAGAGTCGAGTATGTAATGAACTGAAATCAGCACGCACAACATATTCGTAACAACAATTGCTGCAGACGCAGCAGAAGGCGAATTTTCCAGTTAAAAAAAGATTATGATAGAATTTTTGCATGTGACGAGAGGGTATGTATTCGATCGACATGAATCGAACGAAGATTAAAAACGTGAACCGACCAACTTTCTTTGTTCCTTTTGGCTAAAATTTGTAACTGATCGTATGGAGCAGGGGGGACTTTTGACTTGTGCCATAGTCCCAATTATGGAGCTCTCTAGTGCTTATAAAAATAAATAAATTAAAATTAAAATGAATTGGTACCTCGTTCGTTTGTTATTAGCCGAGATGGTTGAATCACAGCGTGTTTTTCCATATTGGCATGAGCGCGGAATTAAGCACTACCATGTAATGAACAAAATCAAAATTGAATAAGTTGTTTTCAAAAGAGAACAAGTCCATTTTTGCATGAGCCTTGACTTGCATAAAACGACATGCTAACTAGGACTCATTGAAGAATGGACCTGTTCCCTTTCGAAAACAACTGATTCAGTTATCCATCACGCTTTTAGCTCTACGGGTGCGGGTTTCCTTGAGACGCTCAGAGTTAAAACTCAACGTTTAAAGGGTTATTGAACAGGCTTTAAAACTCCGTTCTCTTTTCTTTTGCAGGTAGGATAGATTCAATCCTATTCGACCACGCCCAAATCCAGCGGATCGAATCCTACGCCTTCACCAACATCGTGGGCACGGAGAAGATCGAGTTCAAGCACTGCACCTTCGGGCGCGTCGACACGCAAGCCTTCAAGAAGCTCTTCCTGGACAAGCTCACCTTCACCGGGGGCGCCTTCACGGAGGCGGTGCCGAGCAAGGCCGTGCTCGACCTGGAGATCCGCTCCGAGTTCAAGATCGACGGCGCCGCCTTCACCAAGCTCCACAGCTCCGCCTTCAAGATCGCCCGGACCAAGACCTTCTACCTCAAGAACTGCCGCGTCAACGACACCTACGGCGAGGCCTTCCACATCAAGACCACCGGCCCGGTCTTCGTCCTCAACAACGACTTCGCCTTCCTTCGGACGGGCGCCTTCAACGGCCTCCGCGTGGACGACGCCGTCTTGGCTCGCTACGAGGCCCAGGAGTTCATCTTCGAGAACAACACCATCGGCCACTACGAGTTGGACGCCCTCGCCTTCAACACCTCCAGCTTCGAGCCGCACCTCGACCGGGTCAAGGTGGATCTCCCCTGCTCCTGCGCCGACACCGAGCGGATGGTGTCCGACCTGATCGCGTACTCCCCCGACTACCCGCACAGCCGGACGAAGCCCGGCGCCAAGGCCGAGGAGTTCCTCTGGTGCCAGAACGTCAAGGACCACCTGCGCTACAAGATGGTGAAGGAGTTCCGGCAGAAGACCAACTGCTTGATCATCTCGACGGGGGTGCCGGGGTACTTGGTGACGCTCGGGTTGGTCGTCGTCCCGTTGGCTGCCCTTGTGCTCTTGTACTTCCTCTGGTGGCGGAGGCGGCGACACAAGTGGCTCGGGGTCCCGACAGAGTCCCCGATGAAGACGCTCAAGAACGGGAAGCATGATAGTATGATCGTCATGCCCGAGGGGAAGACCTATAGGGAGACCGAGCTCCATGTCATCATCGAGAAGGCCGAGCCTATCGTCGAGTTCGTCCCGGAGGCCAGGCGCAATGGTGGACAACCGCCCTTGACCAGTGATTTGTAGACGAGTGAGCTTCGAGGCTCGATGAATCCCATCGAGTAAACGGCATGGCGCTTTCTTAAGCGGATTTTCGCGTTAAGGCGAAAGCCGCGCTCATAAGACGTATGGATCGTATTCGACACGTCAAACAGGTGTGATTGTGACGATATTGATTGGTTCAACATGTGAACATAGCCTCAGAAGTCAGTTTAGTAATCTGGGGGAACGGGTTTCTTGTGATAGGTTTCCGATTCTCATGAGTATAAAATGGTATTGAAAACTGAAATTGTTAGGAATTTTCTAATTTTCAGCTTTTCCTACTTGAATCCTAAAGTTTTTGTTTGGAGTTATGTTCTATTGTTTTGGACCAAACGATGCGTCGAACCCCTATCGAGTACGGTCTATAATCTGTCGGGGGCTGGGGACGACACCTATTCGTTTCGACGGGAACTCTCGACAGTCCCTGAAAAATCTATCAAGAAGGTCTATTGGAGAATTTGCACGGAGAGAGTTGTGCTGTTTCATTCGAAAATTATTGATGAAATGAGTTCATGATATTTAAAATTATCCTCCCCCCTCCCAATAAGTTTGAAATTGAAGGAAAATATATTTGAAAGAGAGAAAATTAACCGCCCTGTGACATCACAGAGCGGTATTGCCTACCCAGCTACATGATTTTTTGCGGAATAGATCTTGTCCGTATCAGATCCTCAAGGAATTACTCCATTTCATAACTAAAGGTATCATTGTGATCAACTCATTCAGTTGTTTCTATGCATAAATGAAATTCATAGAATAGATACCTGCAAATTTTCTGTTAACAAATAGGGAGAGGAAGGTTGACGTTGACCATTTTCAATTTTGACTCCAAAATGAAACCTTTTCCTTAGATACCTCACACGATAGGTGTGCTGTGAATGCGACAAATTACTGACGAAAATTGAAAAATTTGATTGTCAAAGACTTGAACTTTGTGTAATTAGTACTTCAGTTGATTTTCAGCAATAAGTGATTTTTTCCGATTAAGTGCGTACGGCATGTGCCAAATCCTTTATTAATTTTAGTATTTGGTTTTAGTACACACATACGTTTGTGGTACGAGTTTTTTTAGATGTATGAATAAGAAGGTAAAATTAACATCAATTGAAAAACGGCAATCGCGTCCGTTAAATTATGAATGTTTCTTGTCATTATTTGGGCAGTGGATCTAGCCCAGCCTTCTGAGACAATTTCAAGCATCTCTTATTTTTCCTAATAAAAGACAAACTGATTCCAAAGAATAAATTCAAAGGGTATTCCCGTCATACACATTAGAATTTCAGAGTAAGTTTCCTTTTTCAGCATAATTTGATATATAAAGATGGGCTGATAATTTTTTATAAGGATTATATTTCTTTGACCTATTCACTTCATTTTGTCAAAAATTACATATCAAAAGGACACATTCATTCAGTACCATTTTGTGTAAAAATTTGCATTTAGTTGCACAAATAGTCTACTTACGCACAATTTAAAGGGCAAAAACACTTTTCATGGAGAAGTGTCTTCAAGATATTGCCTGCATTGCATTTAATTAAGACCTGGTCTAAAGCCGCAAAACATTCCCTTAGTATTATTTCACTTTGAGTTTTAAATGATAAATGTCTTGAAACTTACAATTGAACACTCATTAAAGACACATTTTGAAGCAAGTTTTCACTCTCAATGCTAAAAAAGCAATGGAAACAAAGTTTCTTTGAAGCTGTAAACCAGCAAATATGAAATTTGAGGAAATGCTTCATTTTTCAAACATATCAAAACCGTCTCAGAGTAAATAGCGATCTCAGTAAAGTACTATGTAGTTACTTGTAGATAGCTTCAGTGTCTATAAAAATATTGTGTATATATCATTGTGTGTACAAAAAAATAATGTTAGTGAAATAGTCATTTAGTTTCACCAAAGGTTCTTAGCTTTAATGTTCAATGTTGACTGTGCCCATATTTTTAAGCTTCAATAATTTCAAAGACTTTACCTTAGGCCTAATGATTATGTTGAACATATGAGACACACATAATTGTTTCCTTACGTTCCACAAGGTACGCTGTTTTCCTAAATCAATATGGATTTCTGGATTGCAGATTTGTAGTCATGTGGAGTCAACCATCACCTCATTTATTTATTCATTTATTTCGTTTATTTGATTTTTTCCCCCAATTTTTTTATTTCAATACTTTGATAAATTCAAACAGTCTTTTGATGTCTTTGCACCTTTTAGTTTTAAGAGTAGGTTAAAATTACCTAGTCAATACAGTCACTTTCCACGTCCATAAACTTGTTCTTTTAAATTGTGCGATCCTTTTGTACGTGAAACGTTTTGTACTGTGCTTTCCAAGAACGTAAAATACTTATCACCTAGCTGATAAGTCACGTTTTCCCCCCTTTTCTGATCGTACAAAGCATTGGAAAAAAAATTCTACCCTGTTTCTAAATCCATTTATAGGAGCAGCAAACTACGCTTTTAAAAGCATAATTTTTAAGATGTACATGTTATGCAGCTCCTTTTTTTTACATTTCACGAATGTATCTTTCATATTTATGATAATCAGATCTATTGTGAAATTTTTATTGGCCATATAAAAAATTATTTAGTAAAATCAGAAATAAAATAATTTTGGCCCACATCAAACAGTGCTTGTTACTTTCCCTCAAATATGTTGACAGAAAATTCAAAGGTATCGTAGGCTAAGTTCATGACAGCAGATAGAGCTAAGTTCACATTTATCTTAATGGGAGGAGATGATTTAAGAGTCATGAGAGCACTCATGATAAAAAGCCCTACTTCAAAGAGAAGAGACGGATTTTCTCAATTAATGCTTTCTTGAACAGTACATCAGGCCAAAACTGAGAGTAGTTGCACGGAAATGAAAATGATTTGAAGGTAACATCAGCATTTTAAATGTTTGTAGGACTCAAAAATTAGCCTAAACTTTGTGCTTTTCAATACAGCAATATCACTTAAAAAAAATTGGCAAGCACAAGCAAGAAAACCTTGAATGATGCCAGTTTAGTCAACTATCTCAAACCTAATCTGAACCGAATGAGGCAGAAAGAAACAAATACTATAGTTTTCTTACTGATAATTAAATTCGAAGAGTCAGAATTTCATTGAGCCTAATTCATAGAATGGTGGTAAAAATTTCAGGAAACAGTAGGATGCGGAGCTTGTCGTGATTAAGCGTTCAAATTAGATTGATCAAGCACAAAAATAAAGCTGTTAAAAAATGTTTAAGCTTGGCAATAAGGAAAAAGAATAAGAAATGAGAAGAGAACTTTAATTATTTAGTATTTTGGATCTCCATTAATTTCAAACCACCTTGATTTTACATCGATCTGACCACACCTATAGATTCATGGGCACAGAATGGTTTCACCGCTGGAACCTGAGAGAAATACATGAAAAGAAAATAAATACACAAGAGGGGTGAAATCAAAGTTTCTTACCTGAATGGCAGAATCCCATCGAGAGCTTGAGACACAGTGGGCGGGTTGGCCAAAGCGAAGCCTTTCCCCAGTAGAGACATATGCTGATTGCAAACCATTTCTGTTTCCTCGTCTACAGAGTCTACATCTTCACCGTCTGAGGAAAAGAGAGTAAGGACGGAACTTAAGAGAATTTCAATCGTTTTGATAAAAAATTGATTGCCTCAGAAACTTGAATTAAATGACTGTCTGCAAAAACTAACTTGGGATTGTCTAAAAATTGAGGGTTTGGAGGGTAAAATTGGAACATCAAGAGAATTTGATTTAAGTTCATTAGCCCTTCCTTCGGTCAAAAAACTTCATAAAAACCCAAATATTTTCATCTCAGCCTAAATTTATAAATTGATTCCATTATGAATATACGAAAATACGTAATTTATTCTGCTACCGCTGACAATAATAATACCCCTCAAGTAGCAAAGTACGATAACAGTAGGGATTTCATACGATGAAATTGCAATTTTTTCCCCAGGGCATTGCGATAAATTTATATCTTACGGTCAATAAATACTGATTTTAATACATTAAAACGGTAAGCAACTCACAACGCTTGGAAAGTTGCAACTTATCCCAAATATATTGCAATAAATTTCTGTAAGAAGTGTCTTCTCAATCAGTAGATAGGCAACATACATAACACTTATAAATTAATACTAATATTTTATCATGTAATCGCAAATTATTACAATCTGCACTACTTGGGTCAAAGGACAGGTCAAAGGGTAACTTTACATCATATTAACTATCTGCTAACTTGCTTTACAGTGCCTAATTTTTAAATCTTTTTTCTTATTTTACTTTCATACTTTCAGATAGTATTAACTGCAAAATGTGAAACTGAAATCGTCATAAAGAAAAAAAATTAAGGGGAAGGAGTCAATTAAATTTCTACAGACATTGAATACATTTCAACGTTGAAAGTCGGCAATCACATAACTCGGTTTGTGACGTCGCAGACTTCCTGTCATACTTTATTTTTCAAGCGGAAAACTACTCAACGGCAATTCTTTAAAACTGTCATGATTTTTCTTCTTAATGCGAGGAAAATTCTGCAAAAACTTCAAGAAATAATGCCAATTTATTCTCCTTTAATAAAATGACGTAGAGGCGGAGATTTTTAGACACCGCAAACGAGTTATGTGATTGCCGACTTTCACCGTCGATTTGTATTATAACTTTTACATTTACCTGTGGGTCTGCATAATTTTTGAACTGAAAAAATTTACCAGGAGAAAAATGAAGAAATAGAGTCTATTTGTACTTAAAAAAATTCAACACATTGAAAAAGATACTTACTTATTGTAAACGGCAAAGAAAGATCTTTCTTCATGAGAGAGGCAGTGCACATTCCACCAAGAAATGATAGTTCCGTTTCCAGTTGTTTAAGACCATCATTTGAATTAGATCGCCACTCATAACCTATGACGAGGCATCGAAAACCAAAAGTGCATGCCTTGTCATCTTTGATGTAGTCGCTTGCGGTCTCTAATGAAAATATCACCTCATTTCCTGTAAGAGAGGAGAGAAGAAACAATTCATTGAAAATTCAGTAAACTTACAGCTCATCAAACAGCGTAAATTGATGCAAAAGTGCTTTTCTGAAATTATATTATGTTTGAGAACTGAGAGATTCGATTCTATTTTAACTGAGGACTATGGTTTGCTCATACCATAAAACCAGTCGCCAAGGTAGCATTTTGAAAATCTTGAAAGAAAGTTGCAATTTTTTTATCATGAAATCGCAATATCATTCCATAATTTGGTCAATGAATGCTGATTTGAAAAAAAAAAACAGATGATCAGATAGAAGAGAAGAAACTTCCAATAAGAAGAAAAATTGCGACTTACTTCAATTTTAATACAATAAAACCAATGAATTTTGATAAGAGGAGCCCTCTCAGTTAGTGAATTAGCAACGAACTCAAAATTCAGGTGCAGAGGCAATAATCTTACTAAATAATGACCATTTATTGCAACCTGTAATACTCAGACAGAAAAAAATACTCGCCAATCATCTAACAATCCTTTCTCCTTCGGAATTTAATGATCCATTCCAATTATTTGAAAATTAACATCAGTTTTTTCAGTTTTAGTGTAGTATAGTGTGTTGGTGCGCATGTGAGAGAACACCGGATTCAGACAATTTTTAAGAGATTCAAAAAAGGAATAAAACTTAATTGTGGATATTATAATTCTATTATTAAAGATTATTCTGCACACCAAGATGCTGCAGAAATCACTTAGAAGAGAAAAAAATTGTAAATTGAAAAACAGAACATTGGTCTCGAGGTAATGAGAAAAATACAGCCTCAAATAAGTTTTGAATAACCTAGGGAATAGGACTAGTAGATCAATTACCTGGTAGAACAATGGCAGACTGTGGCCAATGAGATGGTTGAGAGCTAAGCCGGTGCAATACTGGCCAGTAGGGTGGAATCTCCTCAACCTCGCTGTCAAGTGCCTGCTGTACTGAAGCGGCTGATGCAGGAATGTATAGTTGAAGCGAATCCTCGCTTTGTGCAGTCCCACTGCGAGAGTCAAACTCCAAACACATCCACTGCACACTTTCCGGAAATAGCACTCTGAAATGTACATTTACCAAATATTACAGCCACTAAGGATCACACAAGCATGTAAAAGTGAAAAGCAAGTAAAAAGCAAAAACTATTTGCTATTCTTGGAGTTTTTTTAAACAATTATGAAGAAGCAACATTTTTACAACACTGTAATCGTGATGGTTCCTTTTTGCTAAATGCGATCCAATTGACCTACAAGAAAATGAATAATTCAAGTGAGGATATGTTCCATCAGATCTCGAGTAAGCTGAAGTTCCCATTTTGCAATACTCTGGTAAAAATTGGCGACAGCACCGCCCAAAATTTGAGCTTAACAAAAAAAAAAGACTGATCAAGGCTACATAAGAGAAAAAAAGATCAAACCTGTAGTTGCTAACTGTAGCAGGCTTGTATGGATGGTCACTTTCTACCCAGGCATAGTGGTGGGATGTTGTAGTAGTATCAGTGGTGGTATCCTCAGACGCGGACAATCGTACCGATCCAGCCATCAAGTTTAAGGCACAGACATGCGGTAGAAGGTCCTGGATCAGGTTCAGAACTTGAACTCCACACTACATGAAAAAAAAATACAGGAAGTAAGTACAAACGAATTTCACAGATTTTAGGAGATTTCGTGTAAGAGACAGCTGCATGTGGTATTAAAGTCATGTTTACAGTCAAGTTTATTTTTTTGTTCGTTGAAAGGGGATCTTACGTACATGGCTACTTGCATTTTTGTGGCCAAAGTGTGAAACTACATATCTGCGTTTGCAACATTGCAAACTTCCTGTCAAACTTCATTTTTTCTTCGGAAAACTAGTAGACGTAATTTCTTGAAAACTTCCTGGACTTTTCTCCTCTCTCAATAGAATATTCTGTATAAATTTCAAGCTGTAAAGTTGACTTGTTTCTCTTTGAAAAAAATAAAAAAGGAACGGAAAAGTTGAAAACCCGCAATGGAAGTATGTAGTTTTCAATTTGTCATTTTGGAAGCTGGTATATGGTTTCTAGAGAAATCCTCTCTGAATAATAAAGTAAATAATCTAAATTAAAGACGTTATACATTATGTTTGGATGTAAGTCTCTGGGGAAGGAATGGGACAAACATTGAAGAACAAGTTACGGATTACAGTAGTTTTCAACTTTTAATTGGAGCAGCCGATGGTCTTCATCTCCGCTTTATCCGAAAGGTCTTGTTGATAGGTTCCTATCATGAAGTAGAAAAGTTGATTTACAGTTTACGAAGCTCATTTTTAAGAACCAGAGACGGAATTAGCCATCATGAGCAGGAATATTGTGAGTCCTTACCCTGGGCTCAGACGATGCAAGCGGTCCGATGTGAGCCAACATGAGGGGCAAAAGAGTGGTGACAAGGTCGACTCCACTCAAAGTCTGGAAGTCTTCCTTCTCTCTTGCCAGCGTGAAGAGCTCCACTGTGCGAGACACAACAGCTGACGCAATGTTCAGCGTTATTTTCCTTGCCTGAGCTTCAAGCAGACTTTTGCTTCCTCCGGCGCATTCCTGCTCGGTAGGATCACTTAAACAGAACAACAGTTTTAAATTTTACGACTAAATGATGAGATTGACACATTGAATTAAACCACTAACAAAACTCTCCAACTTTATTGAAATGAAATGATGTGCTTGTGAAAGTAGTGACTAGGACTTTTTAAAATGCGATTTGAATGCTGGAGTCAAAGCCTTGCAAAGCCAACAGTCCTATCACAATATTATCGAATGAAAAGGAAACAAATAATCATACCTGTAATAAAGGATGTACGGAATCTGCCCTCGCGTTTGCGTGGTGCCATTGAAACTTAGAGAACAAGTTGAGAAAGTGAAAAGTGTGTTGTCCGGCCCACGGACAGAGCTGAGGCCACCATCTCCATTACTTGTCCGCCCACCATGGTTTCGTAATCTAATTGCATACTTGACATTTTCCTGAAACACATTAATTACATTACACACTCATAATCAGAGTAACTCTTGAATTGAGAAAAAAAAAAAAATCTGAAAGTTTAATCATAGAAACGATTGATTTTTTACTTTTTTATGGGTCTTTGTTCACATGAACGCTTCTTCTTCACAAAGAAAACCTTTTTATTAAGTTTATGTTCTTTAGTGAAAAACTTCAAGAGGAGATCATTAATGTTTTTAAGCTTTCTTATTGCAAGAATAATATTCCAAATTTTAATCTTTTTGTCATTCATGATCGTATTGATGAATAATCTGATAGTGACAGAAGTATAAGTATGAACTGATGCAAAAATATCAAAAAAGGGCACTTACTTTAATGAAAATGGGAAAGTCAAATTTGATATCAGCAATATCTTCGTTGTTGACGTCATCTGAACTGAATGTGCCTCGTGTCATTTGCAAGCTGTTCCATCGCTGCGTTTCTTGACCTACGGTGCTTTGCTGTTAATAAATACAAAAATTATGGCATCTTTAAGTTTAAATATAAATAAAATGCAATGGACTTTTGATACTTTTCAACTGTAAGGACATAAAATGTGACAAAAATTAAAAAAATTTTAAAATCATAAATTTAAAATTACATAACCTGCACGGGCCGCTTTCTCCAATGCTCTGCAATATCTCACTGCCACCAGCACCCTGTCATTTCATTTAAAAGCCATGAATAATCGTTATCATTTTTCATTTCATTTTTTCATTTAAAATTGTCATATCGTCACCTTCCAGGCAAAGTATCACAAGCGCCATGCGACGTTTAAAAATTTCCGCCGCCATTTTATTTCTTTACTGAGAAATTATTGGTTGAATCTGTTTGGAAATTTCACTAAATTTTATCGGCAGCACAAAGAAAATTCAGTGAAATTTTCGGACAGCTTCGTTGAACAATTTCTCTGTAAAAAAAATAAAATGGCGGTGGAAATTTTTAAACGTCGCATGGCGCTTGTGATACTTTGCCTGGAAGGTGATGATATCTAGACTAAATCATAACTATAACTATATGTATTAGGTAATACAGAAGACTCTCGAAAATTCGAAGGAAAGTCTGTTTCCCTTGAAAATCTCTCGATAATTCGAAGAAAGTCAACGAGAGTTCACTGTAGCAATTTCTTTTGAAATCTGCGATTTATGAAGTTGTATACATTCAAGTGTGTCACAGAAAATCAAAACTGATTGAATGAATAACTTATTATGATAAAGGAAAGACTATCTTACATTGTCTAGGATTTCAAGTTCATAGTCATAGTTGCCAGCACCACCATAAACACCCACTCCAGCAATGACAATACCGACGCGGTCCACTGAAAAGCATATGGCATCAGGGGATCCGTTTCCAGTATTCCATGTTCTCGTAGGGTTGGTTCGACTAAAACGAGAAGGTGTTGTGTACAGTACCCTTCCGCAGCCACCATCTACATCCTCCTATAATTAGAGGAAAAAGAACTTATGGCTGGAAACTTGGAGAAAATGGCTGACAATTATTAAGCAAGGTATGAGAATTAAAAGTTGAAAAGTCTTTGATATTCCTGTACAATTTTCTTACCTTTTTTTCCTGCCAGAAGATTATATATGCATATTCTACTTTGGATGTTCAATGATTTGAAAATATACCAAGTTTATGATCTGATATCAGGAATGGAGACTATGTTAAAAGAAATAAAAATTACATACCTTAAACATATTAGAGCAGTGCATAGTATATTTGGACAGAGAGTTGGTGTTTATATGAACGTACGTTAAGATTCTGTGTCAAAATAAAATTCCCATCACAGAGAGAAAATGCTCATTTAATGACACTTTTTCCCTCTATAATGAGAATTTCAGTTTTACACTGAAGTTTAAAACATGTTGGCAAGATCAGCAACACTCTGTCTGAATAACTTGTGTGTTGAACCGCAATCGGATTATGGTGTAATATTTTTACATGTTACTTATTTTCATTATCTTTGAGGCTCACAAAATTAAGCCTGAGCTAAGGAAAAGTTGACAAAATTTATAATATAATATAACCCATCATGATAATATACAATAGAGTTCCAAGAGAGTCATGAAGTCTCATTGACTAGACACAAAACTTACATCAACACCCGTTGTTTGAGCAGTCAATTCAGCGACAACCCTTGCGATGAGTTGACAGCAGTAGTGCGCTAGCTGCTTTGAATGGCTCACTTTTTCTTGTGACAGAGCTTGCATCACAGGTATGTAGATAAGATCTAGGAGCCGATCTAAGACATCTTTGAAAGTCCAAGTGTTCTGCGCTTTGACTCCCTCCAACTAAATTAAAAACATAAAATCAAGGTTTATCACCTAAAACAAGAGATCTTGAAAGAATTGAGACTAATTTTCCATTTTTTTAAGATAACCATTACTAAAAATCTCCTACTTCAGCTCCTAACAAAATTATGTGCAGACTTGATCACTTAGCAGGTTTTTCATTGCTGGATAAGCGTTACAGATCATATTATAATGTGCCGCAGACCAGCTTTACCTAACATCATCTCTTTTTTGATGACTTCCGCAGCTAAAACCATACAAATATTTCTCCTTAAATTCTTTCAGAGCAGTTTTCGTTTAAACTTCTGTACCTTTATTCTTATTATTTATCGGTTAAATCAAACACGACTTTTAGTTCTCAATTTTTGCTATGAACGCAAGCCTTTCTATTCTCAAAAGGCTTGTGACTGTCGGCATACATTCCAGGAGGAAAATATATTTTATACTTAAAATTTTAAGACAAAATTACATCAATACCTGACTTCTGTAACTCATCTGTTCCACCAGGATTGGGTAGTGATGTGTGTCTAAGCAAGGCATCATGGGTAAACCAGAATTGTCAGCTGGAGATAATTGACGCTTCAATGATGACTCATTGCATTCCATTACAGTTGAGAAAATTGGAAAAGTGGATCGCAGCCGCACAGTAGGATTACAAAGAGCGGCAAACACGGCACTTAACAGGCGATCATATTTCATCACGCTTACCTAACAGGGAGCGTCAAAAATTAGTCACAAAAAACTCTTGCACTTGATAATTATAAAAAAAAAAATAGACCAGTTCATGTTTTAAATATTATCAAGCATTTTATTACAACTTGTATAGTTTATAGAATTACGAAACATCCCTTTGATAGGTTACAAGGTACAATTTTTGTTTTAGAGGACCTCTTGGTACAGGAAAATCTGAAGGATTTAAATCGTGCACTTCAAATGAGGTAAAATACCATGCTAGAATAAACTTCAAAAATTATTTCAAGACACCATAACAGTTAACTCATCTCTCGAACAAACCGTTATTCTCAAAAGCCTAGGTGTGCCAATTAGAACTTTATGGTCGATCTTGAGATTGAGAGAAGAACAGAGGAAAATCAGAAAACAGTTGTAACTAAATCTTACTCTCTAATGAAAAATAGCTACAATACTTACTTTTTCAGTAGAGGACAAGAGATCACAGAGAGAGGTCCATTTAAGGTAGACAGTCGGGTAGAAAACATGATAGCATGATACAAATGTTTCATGACACTCATCTAAGATTTCTTTTGTCAATTTTATGAAAATACTGCTAGCACCTGCAGAAAAACATGAGTAAAATAAATAAAAAAATTGGATGCATCAAAATTGACAGTTAATCCTAATCATTTCGTTACTATCACTTTTGAGCCACAGAGGGTTGGATTATTGTTTAAGGCCCGTTAATTGTTATTCATTCCTCCACGACTTTGTATGAGTATTTTGGAAATTCAATTTTTGTTACTACACCAATGAAAATTGATGGTTAACACATCTTTCTATCCATGGTTTGTTAATGCGTCGAAACAATATTTGAAATTGGCATACTCAATCCATCTGTCGGTTCCAAGAATAATAGTTCTTTAAATAGTTACAAAAATTAAGCACCAAGTAAAACTTTCCAGAAGTTCAGAACTGTTCTAGGAATTTTAAAAGTGTAAGTTTGAAAGTTGAAAGTCTTCCTTGAATGTTGTAAGCCCTTATCAAAAATCATGCATGAGCATAGCTTTGAAAAATTGGTAAAAACTTAATTTGTGGACTCTACTCCACGAACACTTAATACTGATTTTAATGTTTTGTCGATTCCACAAATGCCCATTCACATCAACTGATTCATGAGTAAAGCAGCCTTTTCATAACTTGGTGAGTCCATTTTGAAACGGACGATTCATTTTTATCCAAGTAAGCTGTATAAACTGACCGTGGACAAAAATTAAATTGTTTTTCGCCTAAAAATGCCAAATTGCAATGCATAAAACCCGCCGAGTAAATTTTTATGGCACTGATACGAAAGAATTGAATTTGCACATATATTTTAGCGTGGATTTTCTGCAGTCTACAGCCAAAAATTTGAAATACTTACTGTGATTTTTGCTAGATTTACAACTACGGTAACTTGATGGAAGATTGTCAGTAAGAATTTGACGGAGAAGAGCTCGGACATCCCCAACACTTTCAGCAAGAAGCACCGACTCCAGAACACGTTTTTTCTGAGACACTGCAATCAAAAATTAATGAACATTATTTAAAGTAAAAGCATGAACAATGACAAGCTTTATTCATTGGTTACATACAGGATGAATCCTGGATTGTTTCGAAATACTAAATACATACTACATTGCTTGGACCCCAGATTTGAGAAAAATTTAACATTTTTGTGAATAAAGCTATAATTAATTAATTCAAATACTGAAGAAGAATGACAACAAGTCCCAAATTTTCTCAGTTGAATTAAAAGAAAGGTAAATTCTAGTTAATTTTTTCATAGTAGATAAAAAAACCTGTGTTTTTACTTAATACGAAAATATTATCTTTTTTTCCTACAAAACTTTGCATAAAGTTAAGCCCTACACTTTTCAGAAAAGGGGGAAGGAAAAGAAAAATTGAACAAACTGTAAGGGTTCCTCGAAGTTTTTGGTTTATAAAACGACTTACATTTATATGATACAACTTAATAATAAAAAGATTCGATTAGCTGCCTCAAAAGTACCTTGATTAGGGTAGATTTCAGTGGTGTAAATCCTGAGTAAGCGGAGACAGGCACAACAGATGTATACAAGATACTTGAGTTCAAGTGTTGCAAGGATATGATTTACAGACCCAATGTTGTGTTGGATGGCATCTACAAGGCTAGTTTTATACGAGGCCCAACTCCATTCCAGGAGCGACAGCAGCGATTCAAAACATTCCTGGATAATTAACACAGATGTTAGAAATAATAATCAGGGAAAAAATATTTAGCAGTATGCAATACAAGCATGATTTTAGTTTCTATATTGTTTTGAAATGTTTCATTTTGTGCATTCTTTTTCAATTTTAAAAGTATATTTTCAAGCAGGCAGTTTTGAATTCTCGGCAGTAGCACGTAATATTTTGGTCTTATTTATGAAGAGAGATTCTTAATCACTTGAATTTCAGTTGATTAGTGCAAAAATTTTGACTGATGCTGCGGGAAGGGAAAATCAATACCTTTGAAGCAGTTCTGGAGAATTCCCGACTGAGAATGTAAACCTCTTTTGCTGAATCCACATGACGTGTTGGGGCTTGACTTTCTGGCGTTACCAAGTGATAAAGCAATTGAGGAATTTGTCCAGCATTCACATCAGTTCCATTATTAGACTTTTTTGATGTTTTGAAGTAAAATACAACCCTGAAACATGTCAAATACATTTAAGACCACAGTGATTTGCAAAATAAAAAGTAAAATGAACGAGTTAAGAAAAATCAATTCAAAAGGTTTCATTTTGAAATTCAAAAATACACAAAACACACCCTCTGAGCATAGCATTTTAATTAACCCGCCATTGATTTTCTGGCAATGCTTTTTACCATTGATTAAAAGATTTTTCTGAAGCTCATACAGTTTTCTACACATAGTTCACACTATCTGGTGTTTCCACGTTACGGGAAAAATCTATGCTACAATCACCATTTCATCAAGGGATCATAGCTCATAAGAAAACCTTTCTTTGAGAGGAAAAATATTTAAACATTGATTTGAGCATGAGAGGGGGCTGGATGAACTCATTGTTTATCTTCTCTATCAAAATAAAAAAATAAATCAGCTCTTTCCTGCAAAAGTTCTGCATAACACTACAAAGAACATACATTTTTTACGACTTAGGAACAACAATAACACCTTAAATATATCTCAAATTAATTTAAATCTTGGATCAACGTTGTTTCCAGTTGAATTTTGTCAAGTTTGAAAACACAGTTGAAATAAGGGACTATAAAAAAAAGTAAGAAAATGATGAAAACATACTGATCATCAGCTGAGACAATTGCTTGACCTCCAGAGCCACAGTCACTTGAAGGACCGCTCACTCTTGCCCATGCAACATACCATCGATTGGCCTGCAAAACAGGTGAGACATGATTAATATTAATGTATAAAGAAAAGACACGACTAAGCAGCGTTTCAGGTTCACGATTCATCACAAATTAGGCTTATTTGTTCTCGGATGCAGAATCGTTTATGTGCAGATAATGAACGTCTTTGCTACCAAAGGCAACAATTTAATGGGATTGGCTAGTCTGTAAACTTATGAATTATTAAACAGAATTTTGAACAAGCAGAAAAACTCAAAAAGTTTAAGATCACAGATTGAATTTTTACCTGTAATGGCACGGATTCCTCGAAAAAAAGAGGAAACTTTTGACGAGGGCCGCATTCGTACGCAATTTCTTCTGTTTCTGCTAGTAATTCTCCGTCGCCTTCCTGATCACCTCCCTCCATGCCAATATCAAATAACTGGAGTAAAAGCAAAATTAAACCAATCAGCACATTATACATACAACTTGCCACACAGTTCAAATACGATAGTTACATTTTCATACAATTTCTGAAGTTGGTCATCATATAATAACGTGGCGATGGTATTGGAATATAACATGATTTTTTTAAGTGCGTTAAAAATAAAAATATAATTTTGCATTCAAGATATATTGAAGATACGATTTGACTTGTTGACTTTTTTCACCCGGATATGAATTGTTTCAATTTTTTTCGCTTGTCCTCTTCCTGGAGCGACAAAAAATTTCAAAGCCGTTTACACTCACCTACAATTAATCAATACACACTTTGATTTTACATAATACAACTTATGTATTTTTCCAGACTCGTTCTCTTATTGGAGCGACAAAAAATTTCAAAGCTAAAGAATCACTAACAGATAATCAATACTTACTTTGATTTTGCCTGTGTATTCTCCTCGACCACCAAACAAACCAAAACCACCCAACAAAATGTCGGAGTCGACCATGAAGCGAATTGCTTCGGTTGAATGCCCAGAATAACCCCATCCTCCTCCATGACCTGAAATTTAGAATTGTTACATATTCTAGAGTTCCTAGATCTTTGCTAAACCAAAACGAGAATAGCTTCATTAAATCATAAAGCACTGAAATAAAATTGTCATTCCTGTCTCAAGTTGCCCTCTTTCAGTTTAAGCGGTTACACTGTCCTTCTTTGATCATGTTTGATCAGTATATTATCAAAATAGAGAGCCATACTCTTGATATAAAATTGACTGACTTTTGAGGGAAAAAGAGATTCAGAGCTTTGAATCAAAGAAGGATTTGAGAATTAGAAAAATAAGTTAAAAATCATTCAATTAAGTGACGCACTTAGGAATTTTTCTAATTGTTACTACGCTTAGTGAGAGATTTTTTACTGAAATTTTCAAAATTCTCAACTTCTCCAGTAAAACGTTTTCTTTAGTACAGTATATTTTTTGGACGATCACTTAAAGGGGACGGCAACCTTAAAAACAAGTTTGGCTGAATGGATGAAAAAAAGTGTGCAGTGAACGACGCCAAAATCCGTTCGCACATATCTGCATTCGTTGAGCCGGTATCGCGAAAAACAGCTGAGCCTGTGACGTTATGAGCTCCATCTCACACTTGGCAGTCTGCACCCTACATTCTGTCTCCAGTGTCAAGTGGTAGACGCGTGTTCACGACAAGTTATTAGTTCGCCCCGATCTCGCTCATTCCTGGCCGACTCTTTTTTCTTTACTTAGGTGTGACTATTAAGGCGACTTCGCAGCACCAGACAGCGAACGCGCCAGACTGTGAGTTGTGTGCGTGTGAACAGCAGTTGTACTGGGAGCGCATGACGTCACCAGTCAGACTTATAATCTTTCATAACTCTGCCGATTTTGCGAATTTTTCATTTGGGGCAGAGCCATTTTGCTTCTTATACCTTCCTGCTTCAATTTAATACTACCTCATTTTCGATTTCGGGTTGCTGTCTCCTTTAAATGCTAACCTCCGAGCATGTTTCAATGCCTGAAGCTGTAAAAAAGGTGCTCTGATAATATTTATATCCTGTTAATGTTGCCGTGCAATTATGACTGAATTTTCTTTAATATTGGGTTGTAGAAAGTAAGAAAGAAGCCATTCTAAAATTACCTTCGAATCGATTTACATAGCAATAGTCCTCGCGTGAATAATGTTTGCTAACAGGAAGCATTTTGTCATCACTGAGTTGCGGTTGATGCTGAAGATGCTGTGAACCAGTTAGGGTGTCGAGTGAGGCCAAAAGATGAAGTGCAATTTGGGCAGAGGAAACGGATGTACCCGGCACACACGGCAATGTCAGCTCACAGTTCAGCAATGATGGCGAGTGATTGTTCTGAATGGGTGCTTCACTTGCGATTACGTTGTAACAGGAGATCTGATTATTGCTCGCATTGAGTTGATAACTGCCAAAAAAAAAAAAAAACTTCAGAGGATCAGCCAAATTTTAGAAATCACTTCATGAAATTTTAGAAGGATTGAGACAACATGGAGTTTAGTTTTCAAATGGGTCGAAATTGATTGATGATCAAGTTTGTATTAAGTTTTTTGTAATTAATGATAATTCTGAAAATTTTTTGTGAAATTTCGGTTTACTTGTGACGGCAAGTTATATTAAAAAAACTATTATTTTCAGCAAGCAAGAAAATAAATGTTCAAAACCGCATTTGAAATTTTTTTGAACTAATTGTGTTCTTAGAAAGAATTAGCGGGGTATTTTCTTATAAATTATATCAGTTACAAGGTATTCAGGATGTAAGTCAATGAACTGACCTCCATAAGACGTTATACAAAGGATCCAAGCAAACTGTGCATCGGCTAAAATCTACTTGATTGTCACCACTAAACCATATACAGTTACCATCTCGCTTACTGATGACGAGACATTTAAATTGCTTTGATTGGCTACACTGTGTCGGCAGCAACACTGGAAAAAAGAAGAAGGAAACAAATTATTGGATTCAAGAGAAAGAGAATTATGCAATTTAGGAGTCCGGATTAAGATTTTAAAAGATGTGTACAGTCATCTGCTTTTCCTGGGCGCCATGGGCCAAATGCGCCTAAAAATAAAAATTTGGGAGTTTCGGCCATCATCGCGTCTAAAAAAGCTGACCCATTCTGCAGATTTGTTTTCTAACTTGCGATTGGCAAAGTAGCTGTAGCTTAGGATGCATATACATACAAAAAGTTAATTTTGCCTCTATAAATTGTAGATAGCTCCTGGAAATTGGGGATCCTAGCCAAGGTAGCCCCTTAAACTTCAGGAGGAAGGCAGAGTACTGGCTGTATGCAAATTACATATCACAAGATCACGTGAGCAACTATAAAATCGAAAATCAAAGAGGGTATGAACATCATTGATGGGCTCAGGATATCAGAAAACAGAATAATGGAAAAAAGTTCACTTAAATTTTGACAATTCTTCTTGATAGAAATATTGAAAATCCTTCAAAAATGACAGCAGAATTCCTAAATTCAAAATAAATTAACTTACTTATGCATGATTTGTTGGCGACAAGTGCAGAGTGTTTCAGACTGATGGAATTGATGAGGCTTTCATCAATTCGGACATAAGTCTGATCGGCAGATGCACCAACCCAGGTGGCTCGTCGTCCGTAACGGGCACCTGTTTGTGGCACCAATCCTGGTACACTATACCAGTGGTTCCGACTACTCTCCTTTGATGGTGCCCCACGCCCTAATTGATTTTTCTGAAAAAAAAGAAAGCAATGAAAATGGAAAAGTATTGCAAATTTAAAGAGAGGCTTCCTGGAAATTCTTTGATCAAATAAAAAAGTTTCGCAGAAAAATGAAAGCTCAAATGAAAATTAGCAAAAGAATTAAATATCCAGACGTTCTTTATACCTTCCGAATTCTCACAAACACTACGCAAAATCACTTTATGTTACAGATGATATTCACTGGAACGACTTCATGAGCATTTTCTTTATGGACTAACATCAACTAAAGCAAATTAAAGAATTTTGGGCAAAATCAGATTAGTACATATGATGGCTATGGTGCGAAACCATGTACCTTCATCCATCCATTTATTTCAAATTTTCTGATCCTGTACTATTTTTTTCGGAAAAACAAGGCAACTTTAAGGCTTGAAATTTTGCTCACAGAGAGGATAAATCAAGGAAGTTTTCGAGAAGTTATGTTGACTATTTTTCGGAAGAGAAAATACAGTATGACAGGAAGGTTGAAACCTGCAACGTTGCAAAAGGAGATACGTTGTTTCAAATTTTGGCCATCGACATGACAAAGAACCCCGTACAGAGCATGGGCTCAGCGGCTCTCTATGAAAGTAGATAAAACTTTAATAGATTGATATAAAGTTCATAATTAAGGGAAAGCCAAAAAATTAGCTCACTTTTGCGAGTAGAAGCCGAGATATTCGCCATTGAACCCAGACTATTTTCTGTGCGGCGGAGGTAAATTCTCCATGTCGCCTTACCGTGCTTGAGCACTTCAGTAAGGAAACCCCCTCTCCCCACCAGGTAACTACGATGTCGCGTTGTTTACACTCACTCCTTTCCTTAGGGCGCTCCGTTCGGGCTGTGCGATATAAGGTTCCCTGCTTCTCGCACCTCTCCCTTGCCGGCCAGTTTAATCTGAAATGTAGTTGCTGAGACAGAGTGACAGATGCGGGGAGAGGGAGATAGTAGGGCATTTGCACCGGCTGAGTGCATAAGCAAGCACCTATCTACACGTGAGTGACGTGAGGTCTGATCGAGAACGCCGAACAACAAGAGGAAAGGGGACTCGGAATTCCTCCGTCATGCTGTGGCATGATAGAAAATAGTCCGGATTCAATTGCAAATATCTCGACTTCTACTTGCAAAAAAGAGCTAATTTTTTGGCTTTGCCTTAATTATGAACTTTATAACAATCTATTAAAGTTTCATCGACTTCCATAGAGAGCCGCTGAGCCCATGCTCTGTGCGGGGTTCTTTATCTATAAATATTTACATTGGCTGTTAGCACCTAATTATGATACATACTCCCTTTCATTTGATGAATTTCCTACTTATAGCTTGCTAGGATTTAGTGGTGTATAACATTTCTTTCATTTAGTAATCATGTTCTTGAATTATTGAGTTTGGCTGTTAAAGTTTGTATGTATTAGATTTAGTTTGAGTCAGAGACAATAACTCTTATTCTTACCTGATGACTACCGAAAGAATATAATTCTCCTTTGGCTGAGACAACAACCGTGTGGTTACTGCCTGCTGCTACATGGATTGCTTGTGTTGGGAATTTGACACAGACTGGGCCACCACGGACCTGTACATCTCCCATCCCAAGCTGTCCATAATTATTGCTTCCAAATGTAAAAACCTCTCCATCTTGCGTCAAAACAACTGAAAAAGTCAATTCAACTCGTTAGTACTTTCAAGAGCAAATCTGGTTCACAAAAAAGGTAAATACATACTATTGAACATTTTTATTAATACATAGGCTGTCCCAAAAGTAATGCAACGATTGCAGCTTTAAAAGCACGGAAATTATAACAACATGTGGATCTCAAAGAACTCTGGCCAATATAATTTCAATTCTGACAAGGTCTTCCTAAGTTCTTTTGGTCAAAAATTCCCCAAAATTTGGTCTCCTAAAGGTGCCTTTCACGCCACAGCCGGCAAGATTCTCAGGAATTTTGATACTCATTTCTCTTACACCTCATTCGCCAGCGTTCTGTAAAGCTCTGCTGAGCCATACTTTCAAAGACTTAGTTTTGGAGTTGACACTCCCATAAAATGATTCCCTACGAAAATTCAGTAACTAAGCCAATTTATGAAAATTTGTATCAGAGGCTGGGTTTTGGAAAGCCTCCTCCAAGTCACAGTTTTTTTTTGAAGAATTTATGCCAAGAGAAGATCCCAATTATATCGAAACATACTTCACAAAATGCCACAGTATGCAGTTTTCATTTTTTCATCGATTAAAAGTTTGTCATTTAACACACCGGTAACTATAATAGACCGCAAAATTAATTTGCATCAAAGAATGCAACACCTTAAGACTTGTAAGGTCTTGAACCTGACAAAACTGCGATTCCCTTACAGAGTAACTCAATACTAGATACAGATCTGTATTTGGAGGAAAGTAAGATCTTCAAAATTATGAAAGATAGAATGGGAGTATTACTATCCCTTAGTGGAAAAAACATTACCAGTGTGATGAAGTCCACATGCAATTTGAACGACTGGACTAGCAGATGGCAGAGTGACCCTAGCAGGAGGTAAAGACGTCACGCGAGTTGCATCTTTTTCAATGTCGCTTCCTCCGCCTCCACTTACTCCATCTTCTACTGTAAATAAAAATTCAACATGCTATAATCACTACCACAATGGCAAATTAGTGAATAACTTCCTCTTAAGGATTCTAAAATGTCTTGAGTTTGTGCAAGCTTAAAACTGCAGATCATGATGGCAAAAAAAGAATATGCCAAGGGAGAAAAAATAAAATTGAGGGTATAAGAGTGGAAATTCAGATTATAAGAGCTTATCTTGTTAGGTAATTTAAGCACGATCATGGATTTAAAGGTAAAAGTAATTTTTAAAGACGAAATGGGATTCTGAATTACACCTCGGAAAATTTTGACATTAAATGCCCCAGTATATTAATTCAGTAAAAGAAGGGATACATTCTGATTGGGAAAATCTGAATCTTTGGGAGACAAAAGACTTATGTGAACGAAATAATTTTTAATGATTTTGCCTGCATGTATCATAAACTCTGCACAGTCATTATTTCTTGGGTGCAATGGAGTCAAATATTAATTTAGATGTCCGGCCAGAAAAGAAATCATGACTAAAAATTCGGTACCTATTAGATTATTGCTTGAAGACGAGATTTGGGATTTGGACACGATGTGTTTGGTTATAGATGACTGAGCTGAACCTGCTGCAGCACGTTGGTTCAATCTAGCTCTTGTATTTGCTGCATGCCGGACCATTCCAATTCGACCTCTCTGCCTTTGTTTTCGCTCATCGAGTCTTCGTTGCAGATGATCTTGAAGTCTAGATCCATGACGCCCTAAAAAGAATTCATCCTCAAAAATTATAAAAGAAATAAAATTGTGTAAGGGAAAAAAAGTCCTCAGGATTAAGATGATGAAAATGATACACATTCTTATGGAATGTAGTTAAACATCAAATCATTAAAGTGGGGACAGATGAACAGCTGAGAAGAAAATTCATGATGTTTTGGAGTAAAGTTTAAGTTATTTTAATTTCTGACTGTTTTGTACCTGTTTGCAAGGAGCATACTTACCACCGAATATTAGATCTAAGCGCATCATGCCTGCAACATCACCAGCTCCACTTGGACCCAAAATAGCTAGTTCAGAGTTATCCACATTTTCTCGTGCACAAATACGACAACAGCCGCATTCCTCACAGCCAGAATCACCCTCACCACAACCGCACTCCCTGTGAAATGGAAGAAGAATTATTATGAGCACAGAAAATTTCTGATTCGGATAGGTTGTAGGAGCGTATTTCTAAAACAGAGAAATTATACTCAGGAAAATTTTGAAGATTTGTATTTGAAAACTCGCGACTTTCTCTCTACTTATTTGATGCTTAGTGCACTTTGGATCAGCAGCCCAGACCTCACTGCAAAAGTTCAAGACCTCAGCAAGGACAAAACCGCAATAAGCAACAAAAACTCAGAGAGAAAAGAAAGAAAAAGAAAATAAATTTAAAAGAAGTCTCTAATTTTGCATTTAAAAAATGTATCAATTTAAAATGTTGTTAACAGAAAATTTGACAATCCATTTCGATCATTTTGGAGACATAGTTCCTTCCTACACACTGGTTCAAATCATAGCTATTTTGATGACATTCCATGACAGATTGATGCTTCGAGTCTTCTTCTCTTCAAAGTAGTATTACTTCTAAGTGCAGAAAAATCATGTAATGTAGGCCCAAGATTACGATACAATTGTCTGAGCAAAAGCGTGCAGCGGCGTGGCGTGAATTGCGGTATATCGATTGTTATGCCATTTAAATCTATGGAATAGGATCGATAAATAGGGTGTTCGCAGCGAACACCGTAATAATCGATTCTTTACCATAAGTTTGAATGGCATAACAATCGATACATCGCAATTCACGCCATGCTACTGAAAGCGTGCCACTATTGATAACACTGAAATGGGAGAAACCACCGCATGAATTATCATGACGGATGATGTCTGTCATGTTTCTTTTGAGAAACAATAAGTCTGATAAAATTAGAGTAAAAAACTTGGAATTAAGACAGATTTCATGATTTTTTGCGGATCCACATGATTCAATCGTTAAAAAGCAATCCTCAGACGCAGTTGACCAATCTATTTTTCTGCCTCTAAGTCATAACCCAAAAGAATCCGAGAAGAAATGAAGGAGGAGCAAGAGACATTAAAAAGAATACGCACTGGCCAGGATTACGATCAGGGCGCATACTGCTGAGACAACTGATGCTATATCCTGTGCACTCTCGACAAATTGTGCACACCATGCACAGATCGTGCTTCCACTTGTGTGTTCCTGGCTCACACATCATATCCTGACTTGAATCATCACCATCCTCCGCATCTTCTTCTACAGCTGTTTCCATTGCCACTACATGAGGAGTTGCTGAATAGAAAGGGGAAACTTCAAATTAGAAAATATGAAAAATTTAGAGAAGTTAAATAAGACTTAACATTTGTCAAACAGTATTGAACACTGGCAAATATAATACTTATTGAGTGAACTTAATTTTTCAAACTCTCCAAGTTTCTTCTGAAATTTCCCAGAGCCTGCAAAAGACTTTAAAACCACTCAGACGACCAAATCTATAGACTTTGCCTGTAGGGGCTATAATATGTATTCTGAAATCCCTCATATCTCAGGGTTTTTTCTCGTGTTACCTATATTTCTCTTGAATTTCCCTGCTGAATTAAATTCCCTGTGCCTATCAATTATTCTGGTTGCTACAAATCTGTTTAAAAGGAATGGAAAACAAGATGTAATTTTAGTACTTACGCTTTAAAAACAAGACATCTTACTCATTATTGAGTTTTTTTCTACAGAGGTATTGTTGGCTCTTGATTATATCACATAAAAAAATAAAACATGAAAAATTCGACTTGGTTACTCTAAAATAAAAGTTTATTACAATACCTTCCATTCCCATTCCAAACATTACAGTCATGTTTCGGAGAGCCAAAATTTTGCTCTGGAGTACTTACATTTTACAAAGGGATGTTAATCAAGTGCTAAAACTTACAATCTTTGACTAGAGGAGTGAACTCTCTTCCGCACTGGCCCTTATTGTTAATTCCAAACGTGTAAATGTGACCTTTACTGGTCAAAGCGACAGCATGAGCTTTCCCTAGGGCAATTTGTGTTATCTGCGTATCTTTCAACTCACTTACAAGGCCTGAAAATATAAAATAATTAAGTGACAAAATTATATGGATCAAAAAAACATTTTTCGAGAGAACAAAAGAGCTTTTGGAATAGATTGAATAACGAGAGAAAAACGTGTTTTTCCCACAAAAAATATTAAATAAATTGCAGACTCACCAGTGGCAGGATCGCACGATGATGTATCTTTTCCGAACATGAAGAGCTCACCCTCCCGTGTGACCAATGCTGTTGTTCCATTGTTGCATGCAGCATTGACAACAAAATGTCCATCCATTTTGGCCATTTTCTTTGGTTTCACAGTTTTAGCTTGTCGCCGGACTTTGCCTAAAAAAATTGAGAGGAATGAAAGGATTCTCTCAGGAAAATGATCAAAAGAGAAGGATGGACTCAAATAATGGAGAGTCATTATCAGTCAAAATTTAATAACACATTTATCATACGTTGTACCATAGTATTGATTTGAAAATGAATAGTAGTTGGTATCAAACCGAAAACTCTTGAGGTAAGACGATAGAATATGAGAGAGGCAAAGCAATTTCCAGGTTATCATACCTGACCAATTAAAGGTAAAAAACTGTAATAATATAGATTACTTTCATTGATATTTAAATACATAAAGTACAAAATGTAATAGTTAAAAAAAAGGACTGATGCATTTTGATGGCTGATCAGATGATAAATTTACATCAGATAAATGAGCGCTCAACTTCAAATAAATGATAAACTTATAAATAAGTCTGTGCAAAATGATGGCTCTTTAAGCAGAAAAACTTTGTCCCAATATACTTAAAGCTTTTACCTACTTGCAAAGCACGGTTAGAAAATGAAAGTATGAAAAAAATAGGACATTTGAGTAAAGGACGTATTTTGAGTCAGCACGAAAAGATTTTATCTTTAACGTTCCAAAGAATTGAATGCTTAAAATCTACACTTAAGTGATTGATAATATGAAGAATCTCACTTTGATCTCCATCTTCACCCCTGCGAGCAGTTCCTGTAAAATAAGTGGAACCATCTTCTGTGACTAGAATGGCATGAGATCCTTCATGTCCGACCGCGATTTGAATGATCTTGCTTGCTTTCGGAATGATAAGTTCAGACCAACGCCCTGTGCGTGGCCAACTTTGTTTGATGCCCAGAACCGAGCCTTTGCCACTGTAAAAAACCTAGAAAAAAATGATAAATTATAAAATTAGCTTTTTTCATTAGTTCTTTCATGTGGTGATTACTTAGTAAATTCATTCTTCAAGACGAAGAGTGCTTTGATAAACTGATAATCTTCTGAATTTTTCCTTTAACTTGTGTTTTTGGATATCTGGTAGGTCATCATCAATTTTCTTGCAAAAAAGACACTTGGTTAGTAACAAATGTTTAACTGATGAAAATTTGAAATGAGACGTCTATGAACTAGTTGATATTTTTTTTGATGATGTTCAGTAAGACGAGATAGACTGCAAAAATAATTTTTTGTATGGTTTCTAGGCAACTGTTGCATACGGATGGTGAAGCAACAAACATGCACGTCTTGTAACTGTGTTTCAAAATCTTCCCTCTTATTTTATTTGATCAAAGTAGAGCAAACCAACATTATTGCTTAAAAATTTAAAGTACAGAATATTTTTCATACAAAGAATAGAAGAGTATTCTTCTTTTTAGAAAGTGAACTGTGACAGGAAATATGCTATGTCACAAAAAAAATCATGTGTTTTTGCAGTTCCACTGTTGGTATATCACTGAGGAAGAGGTTCTTTCATCTAAGTGACATATAATTTTACTTGAGATAAATACGAAAGTATACCTACTTCGGGATGATAAAAGTAAAAAACAACAAGATCGGAAAAGACAAAAATCTAACCTTGCCATTTGTTGTTCTGGCAAGTGAGAATTCTTTGCCCGAAACAACAGCTGCAATCTCATCATCAAACCCTGTATGCAAAGGATGTATGTTGGTCTCCTCATCAAAAGTTGCGGATCCAAAGACTTCAACCGTTTTCCGAGCTAATTTTAGCGGCAGATCAGTAGACAGTGTGCTTGGGGAATTAGGGTTCATGTAGCGCACCACAAATCCATCCTGATAAAAATTTGTTTTGTTATTAATAAATTTGAATGTAATTAAATAACTTCTAAAAATACGTTTAACATTGACTGCACTTCATCAATCATGATAATTATTGTGACAAATCCTACAACAAAACGCTTCTTTGTGCGAATAACACCTTTTCAAAAACCTATTCTGCAGATTTTGCTGGCTCAAGGTTCTAAACAACTCAATAGTATTATTACTAGTCAAGAATGAGAGTTCACTCAATAATTTACAAGAATTTTCACGAAATTTTGATCCTGAATTCGATCCCAATAATTACAAATATTTTGGCATATTAATGCTGACAGAATGAAAATTAAGGGTGATGCTGTAATCAAGCTCAACTTCTACTGGAACTTGAGAGTTTTCCAGCACACTAAAGACCATGGCTTGTGACGGAGCAAAATCGAGAGAGAAATGAATTTCATTAGGATTGGTTGTGAAAATGGAATGAGCATAATACAATAATCGTTTAGTTAAATTATTCTTCTTATTACAGAAAATCTAAATGAAATGCAGTCTCAAAAAACCAAAAAATCAATTTTTTAGGAACGCATCACCTAGCAGTATTTTATGAACTGAAAATTAATGAAACTCACATCTTTAGCTACAGAAATAACAGCAAACTGGTTGCAATCAGTGAACATAACTCCAGATGAAATATCGCAAGGAGAGTAACTAGAAGACATGGAGATGACTTGAGTCACTGCTAAACTATTGCGGTCAATCACTTCCCACTCCATACTACTATTTTCGCCACGAAAGTACAGCGAATTCTGGAAAATAAATGAGTAGAAATGACTGATTTGGACATGAGAAATGAATATTTATATTGCAACAGTTCTGAAATTGTGTGGAAAATAGAACTCAAGAGGTCTGCAAGACAGATGATTTTAAAGGAGTTGTAAAAATCATGTATAAAAAACCGAATGTTAATGGATTTGTAGATTAGAAATTTTGAGAGCTTTTCCAGTGCGGTCTTTTGGTGGCCCTTGTACATGATCATCATGATTTTTTGATGGCAATCACAGATTTTTATGAAACATGATTTAACTTTTCAATCGTTTGTTTGCCTTTGTTTCCTTGCAAACAAAACGGAACAGAGCACAAGGAGCGAAATGTAATGAAATGAACAAGAAAACAAACAGAACACGTGGAAATTTTACATTTTTGCATTGGCCATTCCCAGACTCTCATTTGATGGAACAATTTCCTGAGTATTGTGACACTACTACACTTGATTTATTGAATCTGAATCAACAGTACTGGCTCAATACAATCATTAAAATATTAAAATGGGAAGAAAACTTGAGCTGGATGCTTACCGAAATAAAGCCCAGCCAACTTTTTTCATTTTCATGGAATTTATCTTTGTACGCATAAACATGGCCTTTGATTGTGCCACTATAACCGGAACCAATTTTGAAGAGTCCTTGTGAACAGTGAACGTACAAAAATTGGCCATCACTTGCCATTGAATTGACAGACAGAGGAGTTGCTATACTTTCTGTACAGAGAAAAAAAACCCCAGAAATTAAATACAAGAATGGATACGGATGATAAGTTAAGAGAATATATTTTTTTTGCAACTGTAAATAAAAGAGATGAAACCCTGCTAAAAATCTGAAAAAGCAAAGCAAAGAAAAAGTAAAAATGAAAATAGAAGAATAACTTCTTTTTTTAAGAGTTTACATCATTGCTAAAAATTTAAGTCAATACGATCTTTTTGTCTGAAGATTTGATTTAAGAAATAAAAAAAGAGAAAACAAAATGTTTTTAAAATTTTAATTCATGAACTTAGAGACATTTGATTGATGATGCAATCACATTAATTAGACTCACCATTGAAAGTATATATTCAATTGGTGTGCAATTTTGGATTTTTTACTTAAATTAAAATGAAGTGTATACTCCAAATCACTAACTCAAGAGTTGTTTCCCTTTAAATTTAGTTAATAATGAAAAATTAGTAAATAGGTTTTTTACGTAGAAACTAAGTTTCAAAAAAATTATTTAAAATGGCAATAATTCAAAGTAAACATGTAGTTAACATACTTTCATTTCTGATGTTTAAGAAACGTGTATCAGATTTAACTGCTGCAATGCAAATTTATAACACTCCGAATAACTGAAATAACGGTCTTTTAATAAAAGAAGAAATAACTCAGCGAAATGTTCATCAAGAGATAGACTAAGGAGGAGGTAAGTTGACTTGAACTGTGTAAGCACATCGAGATGGTGATCCTTTCAGTGTTTTACACTATTGACAGGAAAGTACATCATAAGACAAAGTACCTAAAATGAAGTTTTGGCATAGTTCAAAAAAAATTTAACAAAAAAGTAAGGACGACCTTCATGACTTGGAGCAGCAAGCGCAACCGAGACTGTTAGAATGCGGAGGTTGACGTAGTCAAAATAATAACTAGGACCGGGATGAGTGTATACATGAATTATACAAATTGATTTGAAAAGTTGTCAAACAAATGAGTGTATTACCTGGAGCTTTAAAAGTGAATGTTGATATGCAAGATGATTTGGGAACGCCGTGAGTGATCCAATCAGGACAAACTAATTTTCCAAGCAAAACTGTATACACACTCCGGTCTAATTCCAGCAATACATTTGGTAACTGAAATTAATAGAACAGATTAAGAAGATTTTCCCAACATATGAAAAACTGCTTCCCAAGAAAATTCCAGCCAGGGTCGAGGGTCATATAAAAAACTGAAAATTTCATTTCCTGAAAAAGACTTGTATCGTGGGTGGAAGTCATATGATTCATCTGTGAATTCATTGTAGTTAAGCGGTAAAGTCCAATGGGTGATTCATATGATTTTACGGATAGCCATGAGGGGATGTAAAAGTACTGTACTTCTTTGACTGACATCTTTTTATTTTAATTCCTGGGTTCAGCAGTCTTATCATACTTGTAATACTACTTTCAAAAATGTTTCAAAATGTAGCTTAAGACAGTTTTGAAGGACCAAGGAGCCTGAAATTTGGTCTTTCACTCAAACCTTACCTCATAAATACACAAATCCAGGAGCCAAAATTTATTTTTAAAAGGAAAAAAGTGGAATTTCATCTTGCACTTCTCACTTTTACTTTAGTAAAACTAAAATATTTTATGATTTAAGAGTACTTTGCATTAGAATGATCGAAATATCTGAAGAAAAATGGAAATACTAACGATAATATTTTGGGAAGCCACAGGTTTTGGACACATGAGAAGGGAGGAGACCGCTCTGAGTAGTTTCCCAGTATCCCCACGCACAGTAACTAGACTGAGGAGACATGCACATGCGACTGCTGTTAATTGATTAGCTGCATTTCCCTCACTGCTTGTCTCCAAATCCGGCAACGGATGCATTGCCAAATCCAAAAGCAAATCAAACAATGGCTCTGAAACAAAAATGTGGTCGATCGAATCATTACATGAAAAAAGAAAAAAAGCTGAAGGAAGTAAAATATTAGGTGTTTCCGTTTTACTTAATGATTTACTGTTAAATATTGGGCTGAAGGTTAATTACTATTTCAAAATTCCCTAACTTTGCCAGAATAAAAATACCTAGTTGACATCGTAAACTACAATTCCCTGAGTTATTCCAGATTCACTAGAGAACAATTCAAAACATCACATGCAGAATTTCCTGATTTTCCCCTGTTTTATTCCCAAAAACAATTATTTTCCCAGGGAGGTAAAATTCCTTGACTTTTCAAGAAGAGAGGGCGTATAAGAGCAGTAAGAGAGCAGTAACTGGACAATAACAGGGGTGTACTTAAAGATGCTTGATCTTGCGATTCTCGGAGCACACTTCTCTGATTCCTTGGCGTTTTCAAATTTTCTTGGCCCTCGGTGTCTGGCAATCCTAAACAGCAATTTTTAAAGTATTGTTAGAATGCGTTAGTTAAATTTTCTGAGGAGGACATACCGATGACTTGAATTGGCTCATTCTTCAAACCCTCTGGCTGTTGACCTTGGAGTACATCCAGCAATGCTAGGAGAGCTTTTGTACACAAAGCGGGATGACTAGCACGGCTTTCACGAATCAATTCAAAAACACTGCGCAATCCTACTCCGACAATCTGCAAAATTAATTGAGAGAAAGTAAATTTGGGGGAACAATAAGTTGTTGATACAGTGCATAATTTTTTCAACATCTAACTTACCAGTTTACAGTAATATATGCTCACAGGAATAATAGAGAAAAACATATTTTCTGTTCTTACTTTTGTCTTTCTCCCTTTTTTGAAGACTTAATTCAATGGAAATACTAAACAATTTTACTGACGATTAGAATTTGAGCCTTGACTTCTTTATCCTTCAACAATCAACATTAAGATAATATTTAGTCTGAAATTGACCTAGAGGCTGAGAAAGGCAATAGGTTACTTTAATTTTCCTTAATTTACTGCTCCTACACTAAATATGAATGGCATAAAAAATGGAGCTTTTTACACTTCACTCATCAGGGGCAGAGAATTCATACCATGTTGAGACTTGGCATCTAATTACAAGAACACACAAACAATTTTGGTTTTGAAGTTCTTCCTTTATAGTTCAGGAAAATTTAATGGATAAATTATCTCAGATCATCGGGAGACTTACTTTCGGAATTTTAGGTGTAGTTTCTTTGGTCTTTTCAGTAGAAGTATCCTCTGTTTCATCATCTGAGAGTTGCTGTGGGGCCAGATGAGGGGAGCAGGCCGAGGAGCTGGCATAAATTTCACACGCTTGTCGCATCCATCGTTCCAGAACAGCCAAGCGCAGAGTTGCAAAAACGGCAAATGAAGAAGCATTACCTGGAAGGCTTACTTCAGGTGTCTCACTCTCTACACCAATGTTATTTGAAACATCCATCTGAAAAACGATGCAGTCAGTTATTCGAAACTAGTTTTTGAGATGTGTGGTTAAAATTTCAAATTTATTGAGCAGGAAATGGTAAACAGAATTGATTAATCAATTAATCAACCCAATTGATTAATCAACCCAAGATATTTTCAATTGAGTCAAGTTATTACGGTAAAATTCTGTTGGAAGGTCTCATTCAGTCGATGAGATGAATTTTCTCTTGTTTATATATATTGTATCTGCTGAGAATACATTCTCTTATGTTGCTGGTATTGTTTGTATTTTGGTAAAAGGGTTGTTCTTGAGATGTAGATACCTGAATTAAAATGATCAACTTTTTTTTGTAAATACAAAAAAAGCTAATTTTTCATGACACTGGTGGTACTTAATTCTCCATGATGTTTTATATGTACTTTTTCAATCAAATATTTTTAGTTAGGTAGGTGGCCCTTTCCTCTTCAAAATGATATACAATGTGCATAATAAAAATAAATGGCCTTAAAAATTTATTACTTGATGTTAGAAAAAAATGTAGAGAAAAAAACTCGCATTTGCATCAAACATTTTCTGGAACCTGACCATTTCTATCAGAGGCGAAATATCAGTCTAGGTATAGAAATTAAAATGGAAAATTGTTGAATTTCCAAATCATGGGACTCAAATACCGAGCTTGAAAAAAAAACAGAATATTAATGAAAACTTACTTTCATTTTCCTTTTATCCCTCATTTTGAAGGAGCCAGGTTTTTTCAATTTCTTCCAGTCTGATTTCCTGAAATAAAAAGTATAGTTTTTAGAGTTATTCTCAATCTCAGAAATTTGCAGGGGTGAGTAGTTTAAGGGAAGTAGGCAGTATTTTTCAATGACGATAATAAAATGAAACTTTAATACTTAACACCAAGGGAACTTAGTGGAACTAAGGGAGTTATTTCTTTCTGATGCCACTTTGAGTTCCAGGAGCACTTAGTTAGGAGGGTATATTGGTACTACTAACTTCAATTGAAGAATTTAGGAAAGATAATAGATGAGCTTTCATGTCTTGCACTAACTTTGCAGAGCATGGCTGTGATAGCAATGAGTGGAAGGCCAGTTTTTCCACTTTGAACTTGTCCGTATTATTTTAAAAATCTTACTAAAGTTTGCTTTGTCAGGATAAGTTCCTGACTTCTCTATTCAGCTCCCTTGAATGACCAGTCTTAAATTGGTCATTGTAAATTTGCTTACGCATTATTAAGTACTGTATTTTCCAAAAAGAAACCAGAAGGATAGTGCTTCGTATAATATCCGAATGAACGACTTATGAATAAAAAAGTTTAAGAGAAATGCAATTCGGTCCTCACCTCTGCTGGTTTGGCAACACTTTAAATATATCATAGAAATTGCTGCCGAGGATACCCGGTTCCGGAAACATGATGAGTCTCAGGCTATTTGGAGGAAGAGACGGACAGTGATGTTTAAATGATACTTCATTCACAGCTTTCAGGGGAAGTCAAGTATCCTCATAATCCAAGTATGAGATGCACTGCCATCATACATAACCTTATCAAGAGTAAATCTGCCGGTGATTTCATTCAATTAGCGCGTCCTCCACATTTTCCGCCGGCACTAAACAAACACAGTTGATGTAAAGGCAGAAAAATTGCTTGGAAGCGCACAAAATCGCGGAAATAACACACTTTTTCAATCCATTGAATCCATCTTGAAGCAAGTATCGAAAAGTAGGGTTACAAACACACCGCCGCACATTTGAAAAATCAATAACATGCTCAGCTTGTGTCTGATTGGTCCGTTTAGTAGTAGAGGGAGGAGCAGAGGGGTATCAGCTGTTCCCCGATTACAACCCTTCAACCCTTACTAGTTTTCAAAAAATAGTTTCTTCTCAAATTTTAAAGGGTGCGATCCGAAAATAACGAATTTTACTGTAGGTTCGCTATGATTAAAATCATGATGATGAAAAATTTTCGCCCCTAAAAAATTCTCGAAAACATAAATCGAACTCCTGTTCGAGGAGAAGAATTTTTGAATTTTTCCGCCATTTCTTCTCAGTTTTATGGTGCGCACCATAAAACATAAACAACCGCATTAACCTCACATTTTTGTTTTCCTCGAAAAAAGCAAGGGAAATCTTTTGTCAGTCTCGCCGGTTTATTAAAAATAATTTCATTTTCAAAATGCCGTACGCTAATCAGCCATCCGTTCATATTACAGACCTTACAGACGACAATGTCAAATTCCAAATCGAAGACACAGAATTAAGGTAAGAAATCTTCTCAGCTCAAGCATTAGCATAGCATAAAGCCGATACTTACCCTCCAATCTTTTCTATAATGAAATTTACACAATGCTTTCTATTTCTTTTCAGTGTTGCAAATAGTATGAGAAGAGTTTTCATAGCCGAAACACCCACTATGGCCATCGATTGGGTTCAACTAGAAGCAAATTCCACTGTATTGAGTGACGAGTTCTTGGCATCGCGTATCGGTCTCATCCCACTGACATCTGATGAAGTAGTTGAACGAATCTTGTACACCCGTGTAAGTATCTGTTTCCCTATCATTTATCAGTTAATATGGACAACGACTGTAAGTACTCCGGTAATTAGCTGGCTTAGAATGGATAGTTAATGTGTTCAAATAAACGATATTTCTCTTTTTTAAAATTTTCAGGATTCCAGCGAATCCTTGATATCCTCTCCAATGTTGTGACACTCTTACCTCAGATCACATTATCTCATATGTGTAATGTTAGGCAGAGCTTTTTCTGGAAAAGTGTGGTGTAAATCTAGTGTATGTTATAAATAAGTTAGAGGAACATGCAAAAATCTGCATGGTGTCGGCCTCCTGTGGTCTCGTGGTTGTAGCGTTTGCTCCATGATCGGGAGGTCTCGGGTTTGATTCTCGGCCAGGTGAGACCCGAGTTTGATGGTCAAAAATAACGGTTATCCAACGCTGGCTTGATCACAGACCGAGGGGGAATGGGACTTTAGGTATGGTAAAACGTGCGAATATTTGAAGTGTTGGAAAAAAAAAAGACTCAAAGTCTGGATAGAAGCTGTATTTCGCTCCATAAAATACTTTTAAGAAAAAACAAATAAATAAAGGAGTCCTCATGAGAAGACACTCAAATGTCGCGTTTAGTTCATGTGAGAATGTTCTCCCTTCATAGTACCTAGCATAACATTGTCTAATTCCCTCAATATTTTCTTGTTTTCTCTAACATTATTCCTAAAATGTGTTTTTAGGATTGCTCTTGCATGGACTTTTGTCAACATTGTAGTGTCGAGTTCACTTTGGATGTGAAATGCACAGATGACCAGACCCGACTTGTTACCACTGCTGACTTGAAATCGAGTGACATGAGAGTAGTGCCAGTTACATCTCGTAATAGAGATGCTGATGCAAGTGAATATGGAGAAACTGATGGTAAGTTGTACAGCCTGTCTCACTTTGCAAGAAGTCTTGATTCTAGTCTAACTTCCCCAACCATGGAATTAAGCTTTTAAGTTAGCTCTAACAGGACTACTTTTTGCAATAAAAAACTGCTTCTGGCTCATTCTCGAAAGCAGCTATCTGCATGGTGAAAATAATGGCCTTTATGTTGTGTCTACAATGAGACAGAAATGGTATTTCCTCATTGCATAATGTAGTCCAATTTCATTTCTTATGCCTAAATGTCCTGTGTAAGTATTCCAAGGTATGTACTTGAAACATCCTTTTAATGGTCTGTTCATGTTTTCTTCCAGATATTTTAATCATCAAATTGCGAAAAGGTCAAGAATTGAAGCTCCGTGCTTATGCGAAAAAAGGATTTGGCAAGGAGCATGCTAAATGGAACCCCACAGCTGGTGTCAGCTTTGAATATGATCCAGACAATTCCATGCGGCATACGTTGTTCCCAAAACCTGATGAATGGCCCAAAAGTGAATATTCGGAACTTGATGAAGATCAATGTAAGTAATCTCTCTTCGAAATTTTTTTGAAATTGAAAATTTTTCCATTCATCTCTCTGCCACCATTTATTGACTGATGTAGCTTTCTCAAAAGAGCTGTCGTAAACTTTTACCACTGCCAAATGACGTTTTTTTGCATTGTGCACAATTTATGAAAATAGTATAAGTGCATCAGCAATTTGTAACTATTTCTGTATCCGAGATTACTAAGCCTCAAGTTTTAGAGTGAATTGATGACCGAAGTGTGTAGCCACGTATCTCTGTTTGAGACATCACACACTACCTGTCATACCTCTTTACTTTTTTTCTTATTACATTCATGTTTTTGGTTTATACATATCGGCAAAGACAATCTAGAAAAAAAAGACTTTGTGGGGTGTACAAAAACGGACAGCCAGCTTGTCCCTATCTTTTAAAATCTTGTGCATTTATAAAGGTAAAACTGCATTTTGCACTTCTGTTTTCTTCAATTCGGTTTGTTCAATTTTTTTGGTTTTCGTGGTTTCCTTAGCATTTTGATACCTTTCTCTTAGTATTCTCAAAGTCCCTGTCTGATTAATCTGGTAGGCTTAGCAAAAATTCACCTCAGGAAAATGAACAATATTTCGTGTCTTTCAAATCAAGCAATCAATCAGTAATATAGACTATCCAATATCAATGGTTTCCTATGTAGTAATCCAAAAATGTATTGGGTGAACTTGAACTGTCTATTTTTTTACTGCTTGATTGCTTCTTTGGATAAGACTGACAGGTGAGTACATGCTTTTATTCTAGGCTACTCTGACACTAAATGAAGCCTGATTTTATGATTACTTTAAATGTTTGGTTTTGATTTTTTCAGTTGAGGCGCCTTACAATTGGGAGGCCAAACCAAACAAATTTTTCTTTAATATTGAAAGCTGTGGATCACTGAGACCTGAAAACATTGTCATCATGGGTGTTGCAGTTCTTAAAAATAAACTCTCAAACTTACAAACTCAACTGAGTCATGAGCTCCAGGGCAATCCCCTTTTGATTTAATTCATGGCTCTTGGTGTGCCATGTATTCCATGTAAATAGTCCTAGGTTAAGTTGACTGTATGATAAATTGTATGCGGTGATTTTACATTGAATGAAGAATTGAATAAATTTAAAGTAAGTTATATTGATTCATTACAGTATTTTCCTTGCTTCAATTTTATTTTCTGTTTTGGTAGGTATTTGCTTAGGAAAGTTTTTACCTGATGTAACATTGGTTCCTAATCTAGATGAGTAGAATTTACTGATCTGCACCAAAGGTCAGATTGTCACCTTCCGCCCAAAGTATCACAAGCGCCATGCGACGTTTCAAGATTTCTGCCGTCATTTTATTTTTTTACCAAGAAATTGTCGGTTGAATCTGTTCAAAAATTTTGGAACAGCTTTGTTCAAAAATTTTCTAAAATTTCTGCTGTCTTTAATTTTTTATAGAAAATTTTTTAGTTGAATCTGTTTGAAAATTCCACTGAATTTTATCGGCAGCACAAAAAAAATTCAATGAATTTTTCGAACAGCTTTGTTGAACAATTTCTCTTTAAAAAATAAAATGGCAGGGGATATTTTTGAACGTTGCATGGTTGCTTGTGATACTTTGGCCGGAAGATGATGAGATAATCAGCTCCTGAATTTCAGTTTCTCCTTGCATGGATTGTATTCATAGACAATCTTGTGCTTCTTCACTGACAGAAGTCTCATTAACAGTATTATATAAATTCTAAGAATTTGCCTTGAAGTTATGGACAAAGAAAGTTACAGTATGTTCTGATAAGCAACTATTTCAAATTTAAAGAAAGAGGAATAAAGTCATTGACCCACTATGACATGATTCCTCAGTAAGGCATGAGTGTAGATGAGGTATCGGGTCCATACACTCTTCAGCTAGACCCATTATTCAGTTATGATGTGTGGCTACAGATGCAATTACTCTGCACCTGAAAACCGAATTAACTCCTGTGTGAGATTGGATTGCATTGTCAAATGTGAAGGCAAACCAGCATCGATTTCGTTTTCAAGCAATGGGGCAAGGCACAATGCGACGCTCCAACCGTTTAACTGTAAAGATTACCCGATCACGGTTACCCTAATTTCGCAATGGAGAGACTCTCTAGTTCAGGGATGAAAACTATGCTGCCTTGCAAAATAAAGCCGTCGTATGAATGTACGGCTGTTCCCAAATTTGCTTTGTTAAAAGACAGATTTTTGGTAACATTTTAGAATATTTTCTACCAATTTTTCAGAGAAGTGAAAAAATTAAACACTAAGAAGTGGCCCGCACTATATGTAACAAGGTGGAGAAATGGTGCTGGGTCCACACCATTTCGCGGGGAAACGAAGTCTGGGAAACGACTGTCTGTCCGAAGTCGAAGTTTTTCAGAGAAGAACACAACTTTTTAATCATTTTAATCGATCTTATCCGAAGCTTTCAAATAAAAATATTCACACCTCTCTTTCAAAACAGTACTCTATTGAGAGACATTTGGCAACATTCGACTATTCATACGCCGTTTCTCCCTAGCATGGCTTGCGTGTATGCCAATTTGTGGATGATTCCTCAAATGTAAGTTATGAGTGCGGCGCTCCAACGGACTCATTGTGTATGTATCATGATCATCCTTATTCCACGATGAGAAGAATCGTAGTTTAGGACTGAAATCTATGCTGCCTTGCTAAGGAAAAACGTCGTATGAACCATCAGCTATTGCAGACTTTCCTCCAGGTAATGAAACGCAGATGTCGTGGAGAAAGTTCGAATATTTTTCTTCCAATTATTCAGAGAAGTTTGTTCGCAATTACATCGAAATCATCTGAAATTTTCCAAGAAAAACATTAATAACTTTTCTTTCAAAAGCACGTTATCGAGACATTCGGCAACATTGGAATGTTCATACGACCTTTTCCTTAGCATGGGTGTGCGTTTCTGTTAATTACCCAGGCGACGCGACATTTCCTCGAATGTATAAGTGGAAGGTCCTCAGGACCGCAGCGGGGCGATTATTGAAATGCTATCGACTGTATGTCGCCGCTTTGTCGTGTCGCGCCATCGACTAAGCATATGCTTAGTCGATGACGCGACACGACAAAGCGGCGACATAGAGTCGATATCATTTCAATAATCGCCCCGCAGGCCCGGATTAAGGGGGTGGCCACATGGGCCGCGGCCCATGGCGGCAAATCTAAGGGGCTGCAAAATTTTGCATTTTTTTAAAGTGTATTAGGTATAAAAAAAAATCGGATTTATAAAAACAAAATTACAAACGAGAAAAGGCGACAAAATCTCTCATTTCCTGAGAGTATAGTAATTTCTAATTTTGTCGTCTCTTAGTGATACAAGAGACAGAGCACCTTCAATAAGTCGAGTTAAGAGAGAGACCAAACACGCAATTTGGCCTGGAACGGCGCGACTTAGAGAGAAATGACAACGAGGACTTGAGATGAAAAGGAGAAGCCCTCGACAGGGCGATCGGCATGTAACACATATTAGCGCCTACAAGACTGCACGAATGCTTCACGCATTGCATCAAACATAGTGCGGTCATTGCGGTCAGCGTGGAACGGATAGCGCCTACAAGAATGCATGAATACTTCACGCATTGCGCCAAACACAGTGTGGTCAGCGTGAAACGCATAGCGCCTACAAGACTGCGTGAATACGTCACGCATTGCCTCCAACACGGTGCAGTCTGCGCGGCGCGGCGCCGGAAGTTAAAATCATTGAACCACATTTATGTTTGTTCTTTCATAATTTGTTCGTTCATTTCTTATGAATGGAAGGCCTTGTCCACACAGAGATAGGTTTACGGAACTTAACTTTCGCGCAAAGTTTCGTGAACTTTTGCTAGTTTTGTTGACAAGGTTTTCCCAAAAAATGTGTTCAACACGAGTATATGCGTCTTATGCACCCCTCCCCCGCTGGCACGTTCATTTGATGGTTTTTATCGTTCAAAACGAATTAGATGGGGGCGGCAAAACATAGGCGGCCAATGGGCGGCAAGTAGGTGAATCCGGCCCTGCTCAGGACACTTAACGATGAAAAGGATTGTTAGTTTCGGGATTAAAACTACACTGCCTCGCAAAGGAAAAACATCGTATGAATCTTTCGACTGTTGCAGGATTTTCTTTGATGAAAAACAGATTCCATGGAGATATTTAGAATATTTTCTTCCAATTTTTCAGAAAAAATTATTCGCACTTTGATCGGAATTATTTGAAACCTTGGAATAAGAGGGTCGGTAGCAAGTTTCAATATCATTGCGTGTTGTAGGTTGCATACTTGCAATTTCTTCTCATGACCTTCGTTCGCGATAAAATCGCGATCGATTGCAATTTTTCAAGCACAGAACTTTACCTGAGTAAAATGGACGTATTTAAGCTAAAATAATCTATGTTGCACGCAATCCCTCCAAGCTTTAAGTTCGTTTTATCATTAATAAGTCCAAATATACAATATTTTGATAGTGGATGGACAATGTATCCCTTGACTCGCCCCTCCCCCGTTTCTCTGACGCGTTACTTACTTTATAAAGGTTTAAAGGTTTCTCTGACAGTGGTTCCCACTTGGGTCTCAAGCGCGTGGATCGACCCTCTCGGATACCGTTATTCCGTTACGTGAGTTCCTGAAGTATAAGTCATAGGTAGGTCCTTAGGAATCGTAAAAACATTCGGTATGCAGCCAATCGGTGGATACAACTTAATTAACCTCCGTGCACGGTTGGGTTGCGTCGCCAAATTTGAAGGCGAACTTGGTTGCTACTCGGGTCTCAAGCGCGGGAGGGTATGGATTCGACCGACGTGAATCGATCGAAAAATGAAAACGCGAATCGATCGGAAAATATGAACGCGTGAATCGATCGACAGTTAATTTAAAATAACCGATATCGATTCGATCGATATGAATCGATCGAAAAACCAAAACGTAAACCGATCGACAACCGTGAATCGATCAACCTACCCGTGAATCCGTCGACTAACTCGTGAATCCATCGACAAACCCGTGAATTCATCGACTAACCAGTGAGTCGATTGAATCACCTCGATCGTTTCACGTTTTGAATTTTCGATCGATTCATGTCGATCGAATCAACACCGGCTTATTAATAATTTGGCGATCGAATCGGTGTCGCTCGATTCACGTCGATCGATCCATGTCGATTGAATCCATACCCTCCGCGAGCACGTGGCCCTCTCGGATATCGTTATTCCATTACGTAAGTTCATTTGGTTCATTGGTAAGTCGATCGACAAACCCGTTAATCGATCGACAAACCCTTGAATCGATCGACAAACCCTTGAATCGATCGACAAACCCTTGAATCAATCGACAAACCCCTCGCATCGATCGACAATCCCGTGAGTCGATCGAATTTTGTCGATGGTTTCACGTTTCAGTTTTTCGATCGATTCACGTTTATGTTTTTCGATCGATTCATGTCGATCTAATCGACACCAGCTCATTGATAATTTGGACTGCATTTTGCAATTTAGAACTAGAATCTCTGGCCCGGTTTAAAAACAAGGTATGTGCCACTAGTTTCCCTATGCACATAAGTGGTTTTTTAGATGAGCCAGAATTCATAGTTCCAAATTGCAAAATGCAGTCCATATGTGGATCGAATCGGTGTCGCTCGATTCACGTGGATGGATCCATACCCTCCTCAAGCGCGCGGCCCTCTCGGGTATCGTTGCTCCATCACGTGAGTTCATTTGGTTTGTAATTGGTGACGCGCAAGGCGGGAAGTATCCGGCCGCACTTGCAGGCGCATGTGAGCGGAGCCCTGACCCTCCGCCTCCGCGCCCTCGCCTCGGCCGACCGGGCGTCGCGCGTCGGCGGGGTCCCCGTCATTTGTTCTTGTACCTCGAGTCGGTGCCTCCCTCAACCTCCGCGCCCAACTCCAAGTCGTGAACCCCCGAGTCTCGCAGTCGTCGCTCCAACTCGCGTGCAGTCGAAATGAGTGTCTGTTTCTTCACTTTCGCTTTCTTTTTCCTCAAAGCAGTCAAGTTCCTCGTCGGCCTCGTCGTCTGAGCCAACTTCGCGGCTCCGCAACTTCGGCTTTTTAAACTTCATTTCTCCGAACTTGAACTGCGTGCTTATACCCGTCCTGTAGCGCACATCGTCGTGAAAGTCTCGAATAGTTTAAGTTTCGACCGATTCCTGTCGCCTTAGTTCACAACCGGTTACGCGTGGTTCCCAATCTAGATTCATAGTTTTGAAAACCGCCTTTTTCGCTTTTTCGGCGGGACTAAGGCGTGGTTTGTACCGGTGATTTTTAAATACTTCGAGATGTTTGGGGTTTTTTGGACATGCACTGAGAGGAACGATTACCTATCAAAATCTTGTGAATAATACGCATAATTATTGAAAAACGCCGATTGCGAATTTTCCCCCAAGATTTTCACTTTGTTATTGAACTTTGCGTCAGCTGTAATTTCCGATGGGATTTTAGTACATTTCAGTCAAAATGAACGAAAAGTTCTTTATTTTAAAAGTGCAGAATGGCACTTGAGCCAAAGTGAAGCATAACGTGAGTAACAAGCGGCTCAAGCGTCCTACCAATTTTGTGGTGACTCGTACCATCCAAAAGTGGTACCCTTTGCATGTCGGTTTAACAGTGATTTAAGACAACTACGAGGCGATCTACCGCTTAATTTCTGGATTAATAGAGGTAAGTGCTACGCTTGAGAAATGCATACTCTAAATGTTAGATTTGCTTGTTTGAAACTTTTCTCGCAATGATTGAACTTCCGTTTGGTAGCTTGTGAGATGAACCAAAATTGAATGGGCATTTTAGTGTTTTTTTAATATTACAGTTCAGTCTCAATTTTTCGAGGTAATCGGGACCGGAGCTGAGACGGCTTATCCAAAACTCAGATACAAGATATATATTATTGGCCCGGAAAATTGATCGAAAACGAAAAGGGTGTATTTTAAAAGACCCTATCAAGACACTTTCCAAATAATAGGCAGAAATGTGATTTCAATTGGTTAAAAATGAAGGAGTTTCACCTCAAAGACGCGATTTTATCCAGATTTGACGTCACAAAAAGAAATTACCTGTCATGCAACCTGCAACACAATTTCACATTCCAATGTATACCTCTTTCATTCAATTTTTTTTTTTGCGAAATTAACCCGAAATATAACAATAATTGTTTGCGCCTTCAAATAGGCGGATAGGCAATTTGTACAACTTGCTCCAAAATCGATATAATGTGACTATTTTTGTGCGACAAACGGCGAGCTTTGCTACTTGGGGAGGTTATTTTTGCAAACATCATTTCTGGAATAGAAGTTTTCGCCTTAAAATTGCAGCGCTTAGCGTTTACGGACCTAAGCCACTAAAATATCGCGGATGAAATAAGGATAATAATTAAGGAATGAGTTAGGGAAGAGTACAGCTACCATCATTTTTCGTGCTCTCCAGCAAGTTCCTTCCTCGACATCATTTTGTAAACTCGAGAGGCTGAAAAGCAGGATACAATTATATCGACGTCTTAGTAGCTCAAATTGCATAGGCTCCCAAATGAAGGAGATTTAGCTATCCGATCGTTCCACTCATCTTTTGGACCGAATAACGTACCTTTCAATAGAGTTTTGTAAGTACAATCTTAAACGATGAATGAAGATGGCGGTTCCCTTCAGTTTTGCATGCGTCCGAATAGCATATCGACGATGAAATCACAGGAACGCGTTCGCGGCGTTTCAAAATTTCCGCTTCTATTACATTTTATCAAAAGGGAGCAAATCGACATCGTAGATTAAAATCCTTTCTTAATATTTCTCGCACAGAAGAGAAAAACCAGGAAAGTGTTAAAGATATGACTAATAAGTATTCTTCCATAAAAAAGCTTCATATAATTGAACACTTGTGATAAAACACTCTCACGAAAGTAGTATTTTTTCGAAAAACTTCAAATTAAATTTTACCGGTCGTAAATTTTACTTGAGAAAATAATTCAAAAAGTTTTCTCGAAAATTGATTGGAGAGATCTTTTTAGAGTTTTATAAAAGTGCTTTTTGAAGGTTCACCATCCAGGCAATAGCTAAATTTTCGGGATTATGACAATCTGACGCTCATCTGCCAACACCTTATTTAGACTTGCGTAGACCTAGATTCGATAATTGGTAATAATTTTCCGAGGGCGGAGGGAGGAAACGGCGCGCAAGTTGTTTGTAAAAGCCTTGGATAAATATTATACTTCTCGACCGGCACCGACTGAACCTGCAGGCAATGAACTTCTCCGGCCATTCCTCCACTTCCTTCCCTCCTCCTTCTTAATTCTTGCGTGACTTATGAAATGCCAGATTACCTACCCTCAGTGCATCACACGCTTCTTTTTTCAAATTTTCAGGGCTCGGAACCTTGCTCCCTTTTTAATTTCTTCGTTTACTGCGCTCCATCATCAATCTTCGTTTTCGAACCCCTTTTTTCATGAGAAATAAATGAAAATACTCATTTAAGAAACTCTAAATCAAGATTTCACATAAGTGTGGATAGTTTTAATGTGAAATATATACTAATTTTCACGGAGCAGCCCGAGACAAAAGTAATAGGAACAAGGGGAGAAAACGGGAAACAAGGGTGAAAATTGTTTTTAAAAAAGGCATTTTCAGCCGGAAAATATTTTAAAAATCAAGTATATGAAATATCGAAGAAAAACCTGCGACCTACATATTGGTGTCCAATATCCGAAAAAACCTCCAAAAATTTCCAAATCATTTTCTGACTGAAAATGACTCTTGTTTTGAGTCTAAACGTTTCGGGTTTTTATTGTTGTAGTTTAGCCTTGTTTCCCGTTTCCTTACAACTTTCCAAGAAACCTTAACGTCATGTCCGTGGCGTGTGTACGGCTAGAAATTTCTAATTGAGGGGAGGGTCTCCGGTCAAAAATGTAACATGGGAGGTGTGGAATTCGTGGGTAGAAAATTCCTGAAAATCACGGAAAATTATGTTTTTGGGATCAATTTTCCGGTCATTGGAGGGGGAAGGGTACGGGTGGCAAAAGATGCCCCAGGCGGGAGGCTAGTCTTCTTCGCTGGAAAAAAACCACATTGGATCTAGAGTCCAGACTCTTAAAAACATCGATAAGAAAAAGTACTCTTGATTCAATCAGAATCTAGCTTAAATCAAGAACCAAGCCTCTTAATTTAAGCGGATTTCGTTTTGATTCAAGCAAAAATCCGATTGAATCAAGAGTATTTTTTCTTGTCAATTTTTTCAAGAGTCTGGACTCTAGATCCAATGTGTTTTTTTTCCAGTGTTGGAAAAATGGAGTGACATCCCTTTAATTGGATCCAAACATTTCATAGTGACAAAAATATCGAGGTGCTGAATGGAGAATGCTATTTTCCTTTCCTTCTTTACATTCGTTCCTTTCTGTATTTTCTCCTTAATAAATGAATACCTCCCTAGACACCACACTATGTTTTAGATCAATGTATTTGGTCGCTCCCGACTCCTTAAGTGCTGACTAAAATATAATTATACTATTCCGAATGGGTGATTCAAACACTCAATTGTACGCTTATTTGGAGACATGAATTTTGAAAAATTCCCGGTAGAAATTCTGCAGGGAGCAATCATCATCAAGTGCAATTTCAGCGTGGGGAATGAGCTAAAAACCATAATTATGAGTCGGTTCGATCGTTTAGAAAGCAATAGGGTGTAAATATTTAATGAAAACGTCCAAGGTCAAGTTCGTTTGAAGTTCGGGTATGGCGACTGGACTGTCCGTTCAATAATTCACGAGTGATGTGCGGTATCGTCAATGGATTGAGTAATCAGAAGTGACCATCCTGGATTTCGGCCCGCCCTTCCGCCACCTCCAGCTCCCCTGTCGCTAGGGAACGCATAATTTTTCCCCCCGCATCAACATTGGGTGTGTACTCGGCCCGCTTAAAACCCTGACCTAAGCGCTTGAAGCGCTGAAGCACTGAGTTCATTACGGAAATTATTTCGCAAATATCCAGGACACGTTCTTTGTTTACCCGACATCAATAAAACATTGATGAAGGACGGTCTGTGGCATTAAAATCGATTGGATCGGCGGAAAAAAAGCACAGAATTTAAAGTATAGTTCAACAATATACAAGTAAGACCGATAGGTAACCATGATTTAAAGAAGTATATTTTTCTGATTTATGTACTTTTTTAATTGCGGGTACGTCCTAGACCTAAAAAGTTACAAAAATCGGTTCTTTTTAGCGTATAATGGTGGTATGTTGTGACCCCCCCCCCCTTCTATCTCATTTTTAACTGAGATTCCAATTTATCTAATGTCACTAATAAATTCAGCGTATCAACTCATGGGTGCGTACCAAGTTTCATGAGATTCAGTGCATTATCGTTGCCAACATGAAGGATGAACAAATTATTTTCAAGAACTTTGGGGGAAGGGTGTAGAGCACCTTAAACAGCACTTTTGGAAACAAATTTAATGGAGGAGAAAAGTTTCATTCTGACCCATAGAGGAAGCTCCTTCAATTAGGCGGTTTAACTATAGATCACTCCGTATTTCTTAAGCTGGTGCCACAAAATCAGATCATGCTATCAATACATAAATGTCAGACGTTGTGATCGACTTATTCGATAACATAGACCAATCAAGGCGGATAAAGAAAGGTGGTCGCGTTTCGAGTTGGGCCGCCATTTTAAAGGCTGTGCCGCGCAGAGGGTACATGCTTTGCCATGCAATCAGGATGTACCCGAAACGTGCCCGATGCCGTGTAACGTCAAGAGGGTGCGAAATGCGACCACCATACTTTATCCGCCTTGTAAACCAATCACAGCATTAGACATATCGATAGCACCGTTTCATGTGTGACAAGAGCTTTTGAGAGGAGGCGAGTTGGTTATGACGGCGTCTCTGTGCAACTACAAAAATGACCACCATTTTGATGCGAGGCAATGCCATTGCTTGAGATAATTAATACCTCGTGCAGTAAAAGGTAGGCAGCAAATAACCCTGGTAAAAGTTGGCGATAGGAGCTGCGTTTCAAAATACCATAGGAGTTCTTATAGCCGACTGAAGAAGGCGATAGAAAATCATACAGCTGGCTGTAAAGTGGAAAAATCATACGGCCGGGCTGCTACACGAAGCGATAAAAAATTAAACAGCCGGGCTATAGTTCCTGTCGCCGGGCTTTACACTTTATCGCCTGGCTGTTGCTTTTTCGCCATCGGCTATAGAGGGCTATAAGAAATTGTGTAGAAATTCGTGTGCTTTGGAAATCCGCAAGTTTGTACGGAATCACCATAATATTTACAAAACGCACATTATATTTTTTCCTTTACTACATATTTGTTTTCATCAATTAAAATGAGAATAATGCATACAGGATGTGCAAACATTTCAAAGTCATGAGTTGAACAACGCTGACTCCACGAGATTAAATGTTAGAGCCTGACACAAAGCGGAGCGGCGGCGCACTGCCGCCTACAAACCTAACAGGGATACCTCACGCATTGCGCAATGCGTGAAGTATCCCTGTTAGGTTTGTAGGCGCCAATACGCGTTCCGCGCTGGCTGCCCGCCTGCCGCGCTGCGCCGAAGCGTACCACGGCGCTTGAAGCAACTATTTCACATCAGAGGTATTGCACAGTATCGTACGAAATTGAAGCCGCTCCAACATATTAGGAATGGCGGGCATCCTTCAAGAGTACGGAGCTTCCCTTGCAAAATAAATCAAGATACTAAGGCCTAAAAAGAGAGCGGTGGTCCAAAAACTCACTAAGCCCTAGCATCCGTAATTAGTAACGGATAGCATACACTTTATCGTCAGGCTGTTGCTTAATCGCCATCGGCTATAAAAGGCTATAAGAAATTGTGTTGCCGGCTATAGAAGCTATTGGAAATCTTACAGTTGGCTGTAGGTCTATGGTATTTTGGAACACAGACTGTACTGCCAATTTTTACCAGGGAAAGGAAGATCTGTCCGAAGCTTTTTTAAAAGTTAACGCTTACAAAATTTGATTGTATTTCCTTTCATTTGACGTAAGTATAAATCGGAATATTGGCTTCAGTAACTTGTCTCTTTATGGGGACGCAAGGCGAAAGAGAAGAAGTGGTACCTATTTAAATATTTTTTTATCCACACCTCTATGTCCTGTATTTGGTTGCTTTCAATCCTAATGAGACTTCTGAGACAAATATTCGGTTTTCACTATGACGATAAGTCAACTGTTGTCGCCGCAGTCAGCATAAAATTACGACCTCTCTAATTTATTGAACGATTTGTCGACTTTATATTTTTACCGGCAAGCCTGTATTGCCAATTAGTTTGTGGGCAGGGCAGTAGCAATTTGTGATCACAACGTCTGGGTGGCCTGAAATTTCCGAGTCTGAGTTGGTGGTTAAGCCTTCACGTACAAGAAAACAAACAAATGGACAGTGTAAGTCCGCAACCACGTATCTCGTTTGCGGTGTTCCATAATCTCCGCTCCTATTTTATATTCTTAAAGGAGAATAACTCGACATCATTCCTTGAAGTTTTCGCAGAATTGTTTTGGCACTGAGAAGAAAAATCACGGCAGTTTTTTAGGAAACTTTTTCATTTAAAAAATAACGTAAGATAGGAAGTCTGCGGCGTCGCAAACCGAGATACGTGGTTGCGGACTTACACCGTCGACATGTTTTTATGCTTCACAAAAAAGTCATGCACTTGCCAAATGATTTTGCCACTACTAGTTATTTGCTACCGTTCCAACGCATACTCATCTCTATTTTGTTGAATAATAATTAATAAAAATAAAAAAAAAATTCCTCCGTGACGGGGCCCATTTTATAGCACAGAAAAAAGCATTTACACAATGTTGCCCATGCAGACATGAAGCTCTATGAAACTGTCATAACTCCGACCCGGTTTAAAAACAACGTATGTGCCATTAGTTTCCCTATGCACATAAGTGTTCTTTCAGATGAGCCAGAATTTATAGGTCCAAATTACAAAATACAGTCCATTTCAACGTGGGTGTGAAGCATCTGATTTTGCATATTCGCTTACTCTGAAGGCGAACCTTGCTCTACCATTCAGGTGGAACCACTTTCCGCCATAATTGTTCGCCTTCAGCCCTCCGTGTAGGCAAAAACATAGCTCTCACGCGTCGGACAGTGGCGAAGCATGAATAATCTATTAACGATATTTCCCAATTTAAACCTACGGTGAAGAATCGGTATTGGTGTGTTCTCGAACATCCTGTTCATCGCAAACCACGGCATGTCATTAGCGTTGGAATAGATGCTGCCTTGGTCTTGCGTGTGTCGCGTTCTTACGGGAAAGTTTGTAATTAATGGTTTCTTTTGCGTAAAAACTTTACAAACCTGAGCGCAGGGCAGTGAAAGTAAGGCGCGGTGTGTAATGTACCTGGAGACTTTTTTGGAAAAGAGTGAACATAGAACCATATATATATATGCCAATTTGAGACTTAAACGGTCTCTAATTTTACCACGGTTTCATAATATCATGAGCGTTCTGGGAGTGGGATCTCGTACATTTCTTCCATGGAATTTACAGAGAAAGTATCAAACTGTCATGAACAGGAGGGTGGTTCTCAGTTGACTATCTTAAAATAGGTTTCGACTTTATTTTCGATTTTTTGGCGATTAAATCGCTAGGAGCATCAACATCTGAGGGAGAATCCTAGATCTTGTCGCAATTTATCTCTATAAAATCGTGTTAAAAAAATCGTTCTTCTATCTCAATTTATCACGATTTTTTGTTCGATAATACCACGATAAATCGCCCCTGATAAAATCGCCATTTTGTCGCAAATTTATGCGCTGAAATCGCAATTTATTCATCCAAGAAAATTGCAATAAATCGACGTTGATAAAATCGCGACACATTCTCCGATCCAACCGCAACTTATCGCGATCATTGCTACTTGGGCGCTTTGTCGCTCGGCTGACAAAAGAGCGTAACTACGTTTTGAGATGAGCCCGAGAAAGCATTGAATTACATGGACGACAGAGCTCACTGCGAAGTGTAGTTAAGTCTTTATGCCAGGGAGGCGACTATTTCATCAGTGCAAGAAGTATGAAACATCACGCAGAGCTTCAAATGGACTACATTCTGCAATTTGGAACTATAAATTCTAGCCCGATTTAAAAACAACGTATGTGCCATTAGTTTCCATTTGCATGTAAGTGTTTTTCCAGAAGAGTCAGCATTTATAGTTCCAAATTGCAAAATGCAGTCCAAATAATGTATAGCGGTTTGACGTTAGGCGTGAAAACAGTTACAGGAGTTACGGATGCGCGGGACTACACTGATCACATTCCAAAGAGAGGTTGGGAGATTTCTAGGGCATGAAGTAGAGGAGGAGGTCTTGCTGCTACGGCCATTGGCATGGCGGCGTGTGTTGGCCTTTTAAGTCTCGACGCGCCTCAAAACGCAGTGACCTAGTTCTTTTCGTCAAAACGCGAGAGAATCGACTCTCCCGACATCGTGACGATTTTCCTCCACCCTTACAACCTTCAAACGTCACACCTACTCGATCCCGTCATCAGACGAACGCCTCCACACTCCTGCGTTGCGCGGTTCCGTCTAAAAAAGGTCTCCCTCAACCAGGGCAAAAGAGCTTAAGTGCTGACTATCCCACACAGTAAGGAAAATTACCGACATCTTGTGTTAATGTGGGGAGTAAAACGCAAAGTGCCCTACACGCGTAGTCGGGCCGTAGTTGATATTTTTTCGTTAGTTTTCGTCAGGGTTACATCGATCAAATCCTTGGGTTGAAATTTGCAACCTCGTTAAAAATCAGGCGCAAACCGAAGGGATCGAACTTGGATCGCATTGGTGATTGTCAGTGGCGAGGTGTGAAAAATCCCATCGATATTTTCCTACTTGAAGCTATGGTAAAGAATCGATTTTAAAGTTGTTCGTTGCGATCACCCTATTTATCGATCCTTTAGGTTTAAATGGCAGATCGATCGATATATCGCAAAGCACGCCGCACCACTGGTGATTGTCCAATGCGTTACAGCCACTCGCAAGTAGTGCTTGAGTGATATTAATGAAAACGAGAGTAGATACTTTAGTTTTGCATGATAGTCTTCAATCTTAATTCCCAGATGTCTAGGATTAATGTACGATTTTGGTAGCTTTAATGAAAATTTTGTCGATCAACCAAGTCCTTTTGAATGATCATACCAAAAAACCGACGCAAAGTAACCGAAAATTACAATAAACACGGAAATTTTCACGTCCAGTCTCGTCGTAGAGGCAGAATCGAATCTGCATCTCAATTCTTATAATCGACTCTTGACGCTCAATGGCGATCGATTATAAATCATGATAACACCAGTGGTTGGTGTCAAAAGTAAGCCCTATTTACTTATTGCGTGGCCGAAATCTACGTTATACATAGGATTTTAGTTGTCATCATTCTGTGAATATTTATCACTTTCCTGGTAAAAATTGGCGATAGGAGCTGCGTTTCAAAATACCATAGGAGTTCTTATAGCCGACTAAAGAAGGCTGATGAAAATCATCTAGCTGGCTGTAGAAAGCGGAGCAAATCATATAGCCGGGCTATACGAAGCTATAAAAAAGTATACAGTCGGGTTATAGTTCCTATAGCCGGGCTTTACACTTTATCGCCATTGGCTATGAAAGGCTATAAGAAATTGTGTAGAAATTCGTGTGCTTTGGAAATCATTAAGTTTGATACGGAACTACCTTTATGTTTTCAAAACACACATTATATTTTCCGTTAAAACATATTTTTTTTCATCAATTAAAATGAGAATAGTCCATACAGAGTGTGCAAACATTTCAAAATCATAAGTTGAAAAACGCTGAATCCGCGAGATTAAATATTAGAGCCGAACACAAAGCGGAGCGGCGGCGCACTAGCACCTACAAACCTGACAGGGATACTTCACGCATTGCGCAATGCGTGAAGTATCCCTGTTAGGTTTGTAGGCGTCAATGCGCGTTTCACGCTCCCTGCCCGCCCACCACGCCGCAGCGTGCCACGGCTATAAAAGGCTATAAGAAATTGTACAGCCGGCTACAGAAGCTATAATCTTACAGTCGGCTTTAGGTCTACAGTATTTTGGAACACACATTCTACTGCCAATTTTTACCAGGGTCATTAGGCCTTTTAAACTTCCGAAACTCTCACTCGTGTCCAGGATGAAAGCTGTAGGGACAATGTTGAAAAAAGTCTTAGGAATCTGCATAATAAGTCGTTTTCCTCAGGAAAAAACGTGACTCCATTTCAAGTTTGCCAATTTTCCCTTCGTAAATCGCATATTAACCAGAAAATTTTGGCCATTTCTAACTGAATATTTCACTGATTTTTCCTCAAATTTCATGCGAAAAGCATAACATTTTGGATACAAATTTTACAGATACATTTTTGTAAAATAAATTAATTTTTGGGGTCAATTTGGCAACCCTGGAGTGTGGTTATGTTCCTTCGTCCGGGAGACGACAAATAGAGAGTTCCTTTTTGAAATCTTGCGTCGATCAACAACATTCTACTAAAATGAGATCTTGAAAATCACCAAGTCCGCATGACGTTTACTCAGGTGCACTTTTATTTTATTATTTTTATAAAAGTTTCTTTTAGGTTTTCTATCCTGTTTGTACTTTTATTTTTTCAGGTCATTACATCAGTCAACCGGATACTAATCAAAGAAACCAACATGGCAGCAGAGAACGTGAAGGTGATCGTGAGATGCCGACCAATGAACAATCGCGAAATCTCTCTCAAATGCAAGGTACGTGTCTGATAAACTTAGTAAAGTAGACGAGTCTATCTTTTTTTTATCACCATTTTTTAGCCATAACCCTCATCCTCTTTTTTTGATGATGAGTAGGCCGAAACAAAGTACCTACAACAATCTAATTATCAATTGATGTATAATTGATTATGACAATTTCTGCAGGTGAGAAATACTTTTTTCGAGATTTTTATTTTTCGGTGACATACTGGCGCTTCCTCAACCCCCTTCATCCGCCGTATGTAACCTAAAAATTGATAGTCGCGTCAAATCAAACCAGTTTAGGATTTCTATGGGTAGTAAAAAAAAAAAAAAAAAAAAAAAAAATCCTCTGACACAACACAAAATATCAGTTTTTAGATGTGCGCTTTTTAGGGAGCTTGAAATACCTCTGATACATCCCCCCCCTATGCATTTCTTCAAAATGATTATTAATTGGACATATCATAGCATATTCTGAGCAAACTCAATCGTACCTGTTCTCAAATTTCAAAAGTTAGAGACACCTCAACGCGCGTTGATGACGGCGCAAAGATACAACTATTCGTACTTGATGGATATCCGTGTTGCATCTGCAAAATTGAAGGAGTCACGGCGCGAGGCGTGAACTCTGAATCCTCCGCTATATGTTGCCAATGAGTTGTATCTCTTTTTTTCTCAATTCAACGTCTGATTCTTTTCCACGAAGTATTTTTTTAGACATATATCTAAATATTGTATGCGCTGACCCCGTCCAACCTGTGAGTGTTTTTAGCAAGCCTCGGGTCAGTTTGATCCGGATTGGGCACCAAAGGTTAAAATCCCTTAAGAATTTTTAGTTTTCCTTCATGCAGATTTATCGGGGAGCCGCAATTTTGGCAATTTCCAGGATGTCATCGGGATTTGGTGCCCAAGCCCACGTATTCCGCAAAATAGTATCCACATACCAACTACAGTAAACGAACTTTTCCCGCCTCGAGATTTACAATGGGCTTTCAATCGAATTCCAACATCAACAGTAATAATCGTCCTGTTTTAATCGTTAAACATATTTTTCGACGATGAATTTACCAGACCTTGGCATCTCGTTTGCGGTGTTTAAAAATCTCCGCTCCCATTTCATTTTTTTTTGAAGGAGAACAACTCAATATCATTAATTGAAATTTTCACAGAGTTTCCTTCGCACAATGAAGAAAAAACACGAAAGTTTTCAGGAATTTCCTATTTAAAAGATAACGTATGACAGGAAGTCCACAGCATCGCAAACCGAGATACGTGGTCTGGTAGTTTCACCGCCGATTCAATCTTTTAAAATACGGCATCTGTCATTTGTTTCTTTCCTTTTCTATTTAGTTAATTTTTCCCTCTATTCGTGTATTTTGACCCCATTTTTTTAAATAGCAGCTCAAGGAATTGTCTTTAAGACATACAGCTTCGCCGGGAAGTGTCCCGGTTGCCAGTCCCATGCATATGGTTTGGCTTAAAGGCGTCGGAATGATACAGATGTATAGTAGCGAAGGGCTCGTAGGGGTAAAAGGAAATGGGTTATAGGTGCGGGACTTCTTAAATATTAAACATCGTCGGTGAAGCAATTAGGTGCAAGGTCGTCTTCAAGCCCTCTTTTATGAAAAATTGATGACCACCGACGAGAATCGAAGGAATGAATATGGGTCCGCTTCAAAAACGGCCGCCCGATGGTGCAAAAACGAACAGTTTCCACTCTGCGACAGCTAAAACGACACATTGCAATGAAAAGCTATCTGCCAGCAATGCGCCGCAGTCACTAGACATCAGCCGTGCAAAAACATTCACCACAAACACATTCATGCAGGCTGAGGAGGCGAACAATTGAAACCTCCCGGGTGTTTTACCTTAATGTCATTGTTTTTTGCCTCTGTGTACATTTTTTATACAACGTTTACTTGGTCGCCCTCAAAGCGCACATCTTGATGGCATAGAGAATGGGTTACATGCACGTGTCAAAATCGTGTGATTATGGTTAAACTCGTCAGCGGGCTGATTGTTGAAATTGATAGACAAAGCTACAGACAGAGAAGACATAAAGCGTATAGAGCGATCCTCTTTGTTGAAATGGGTAGCTCTCTTAGACTGAGGGGGTAATTGATAGACTAACTATCCGGTCTCTCGTGGGTTGCCGTTAATTAGTCTACTACCTACATCTTTTGTCCATTACAACTACCCGCTTCTACCCATAGGATTCCTGCCCCGTATCCTTTTTGTCTTCTTCGTCTATCACTTTGTCTATCAATTTCAACGATCAGAAAAAAGTGCCTGCCTAGACACGCCTGGTCCCAATGCCAAGTTTCTGCGTCCAATATTAACGGGTATATTATATTTTGCAAGATGCAGTATATGATGTTATAATCCACCGCCTTGAGGCATACGATAATAAATTGCATTTACGTTGCGGCCGTATTGCTCAGTCGGTAGTGAATGAAAGAAGTACTGCGGGTTGATTATTGAAATTGATAGACAAAGCGATGGACAAAAAGGACACAGGGAGTATGGAGCAATCCTATTGTGGTACCCCCGACCTGTAATCATATCAGATTAAATGACCTCCAGGCAGTTAAAATAATTGTATCATACGGTGTGGTGTCTCAGCGCAACGGTATCGTAATGCACAGGTGAGCAAACTCGGTTATCCTTCAATTCTGAAGTTATGCAATTTGCGTCACCGAGGAGTTGATTTAGTTGTATTTAGATCTTTTGACCACAAGACATGCGATCGTCATCCGAGGAACATAAGTACAAAATTGAAAGCATTTCAAAAGCACTGACAAGAAGAAAAAGTGTGAGATAATAATGTTATACCTCAACAGTGGAGTCCACTAGTGGGTTTTTTTGTCAGATCTTCAATACTTTAAGATCTCTGACAACTTAAATGCCAATTTTCTCCGCGTCTTGTCTGTAGATCCATCGAGGTAGTTTCTAGGATTTTGAGGCTACTTGAAGGCAAAAATCTCTAGATAAGACCGCTGTTGTCAATATCTCGAATGATGACCATTTTGATCATAGTTACCTCGGATAACCCGGATAAAATATTTCAATTGCCAGAGATGCAAGCTCTCTCAGCTGGGCGCCCTTCAGGGCTGGGTTAAGTAGTGACCTTAATGGGAACAAGGGCGTGCCCAGTTAAGTTTTTCGTGCCTCTGATCTCCACAATTCAACAAAGGGAAGTGTAATTCTGTGACATGAGCAAAAAACCAATTCCAGTCCTGATTCATAATGATACTTATAATTTTATCTGAAAAAGTTACGTTTTGAAATCGTTTCCCACGTCGCTGATAACAACGTTGGGATGAAAGGGGCGAAGAAAGCTCAACTCATTATTTGAGTGCCGTGCTTTGCCACAGCCTAGTATTAATATGATAATGGCTGCCTCAGTTTTTCGTCAAATTACGGAGGCTATTTGTTCAAATACGCTCTCACTTTTAGCCCATTTAAGTGGGTCAAGCAACTCCCTCGACTTCGTTTACCCACCGCTCTCCCCCTCACCCGCACCCTCACCAACCCTTTAAGCCCTTAATCACTTGGATATTTGGTCGGTGTATTGGTGTGCTAATTTCGGCCGTGGGAACGCGGTCATTACGCACCTTTTACAACTGTTTTTACACCTAACTGCTGCTTTTATTTTCACCCTTTTTTTTATTTTTCCTTCTCTTCCGTCGAAAGGCATGACTCGTTGTGCACGCAATTGACCTCAATTTTTAATAATGTCTTAACTACGTGAGCATTTCTAGTATTGAAACAGGCTGGAAGGAAGCAAATCGATGGCCGAAGTGCAGAAACACGTATTTCCGTTTGCAACATTGCAGACTTCCTATAATGATTTATTTCTTCATCAGAAAACTAGCCAATTTAATTTCTTGAAAGCTTCCTTGATTTTATTCTGTACTAGCGGGATATTTCGTTGAATTTTTAAGTTCTATAGTTGACTTGTTCCGTTTCGAAAAAATAAAATAGGGGCAGAGATTTCAAAATTTCGCGACGGAGATACGTGGTTTCACACTTTAACCATCGAAACTAGAATTGAAAGACGGGAAACGGCTACGCTCATGTGTCACAGAAAAGAGAAAGGGTCATAGAAATGATGGAAATGGTATCAATTTTGTTTTGCACTGTATCCCATTTCGATTTCAAAATTTAGGTGTGATGAAGTTAAATTTTTGAGAGTTCCCATCGTGAAACTCTCGGATCCCTAACTGAAGACGAGTAATGTTACGTTCCCGATCCTGTTCGGGATGTGTCACAGTGAGGCATGCTGCGTCGTGCCCGCGGACTTCCGAAGCAACCATTCGCGCTTCTGTGTAAGGCAAATTATCTACCTTCAAAAAAGAAGGAGCCTCAGCTCCTGGCGCATTTTTCTCTAAACCCCAGACCCGGTTGTCATGGATTCCTCGCTTTCACGGGCAAATATCTACCTATTAATATAATTATGCTTGCATGAAAAACGCATGTTGCTATTTTGCTTTGCTTATTGATAAAAAGAAAGGAGAAGAAAAGAAAATGGAAAACTTCAACAACGAAGATACGCGGTTTTGCACTTTGTCCATCGCTGCATAGCCTAGGAGCCGTAATCACAAAATTTTTCGTCGTGTGGAAGCCGGAATCTGTGCATGCATTTATTTGATCTCTAATTCTATGCCACGTTGCGATCGTTTTCAATCACATTGTGCGTCCAGCATGGGTCATGGGGCCGTGGGGGTTTGGGCTCGAAGACCCGCCGCGTTCACCGGTGCCCCAACCCCGACCCAGTACCTATTCCATTCTCCCACCCCCTCCCATCATCCTCTCTGCCCTGCCGCTCCCTCTGCACTCGCATAATCCAATAAATCTGTTTGTATTCCACTTTTTGACATCCCATCAATCGCTGGCGCTTTTTGAGGCGATACCCCGATCCCTAGCTTTGGAGAAGTTTATTTTAAGCCATCGATTTTGTTACCGAATCATTTATAATTTATTTCTACTTCCTCTGTTCCTTGAACGTGAGTTGT